ACTAAAAAAAACTAGATACTTTAAGAACGTCTTCAAGAGGGATTTAAACTGCTGGAGTTTACTGATTTCCTTGTTTGCTAAGGGTGAGCAATTCTACTGCAGTGGAACGACCGCACAGAAGGCCCTGTCTCCTCTGGTCTTCAGCCTGGTCTTCAGTCAATGCTCGGCTTGGTCAGACCCATAGACCGTACCTAAGTGGACTGCCAAGTTCTGACATCACTATATTGTTTGCAGAATGTAGAAGGAGCTGATTAGAACATGAGCTAGCTGCAGCCGATTTCCTTATATTATTGCATTTGTTTCTGAAAGTGCTAGCTTTGGGCCGTAACAGAGACGGGCATTTTGCTAAGACGGTTGCTAAGACGGTTGCTAAGACGGTTGCTAAGACGGTTGCTAAGACGGTTGCTAAGACGGTTGCTAAGACGGTTGCTAAGACGGTTGCTAAGACGGTTGCTAAGACGGTTGCTAAGACGGTTGCTAAGACGGTTGCTAAGGCAGGCTGGAGCTTCCCCAACGAAGAAGGCAGGTTGGAGCTTCCCCAACGAAGAAGGCATCCTGTCAATCATCAGTCAGTCCTTGTAGGCTCATATCTGGATTTACAAAGACAAGATTCAAGATCAAGATACCCAGATATATGCCTCTCCTTCCAACATGCAGCACCACATGGAGCGAGTATTTGGATGTTTTGAGGTCCTTCCGTCGGTCGTGGGCAGCAGAACCGGCCTGACCTGCTCCAGATTCCTTCAGCCTCACAAAAATATGCAGACACATATTTGCTGCTCAGTCGTCATAACTTCAGAAAATACATGCTCATTATTATAATACAGGATCATCTGAAGGCTTGCCCTTTAATAAGTGAAAAACTATTTTAGAAACTTAAACTTTGTTAGGGACATTTCCTGGTTGTTTTTATTCAAATATTTAGGGCTGCAAGATGGATGTATACGTATAGGTCAAAATCACACTTCCAAAAAGCCATTCTCAAACATCAAAACATCTTATTTAACTTTGTAAAAGCACTGCAAAAAGTAGAAAAGATGGTAGTAGAATTTACCCTCTCTTTTCTAATATTTTATTGATCATTGATTTTTTTTACTTATCACACGCCATATATTATTTGAAATCTTCACATCACATTTTCACATAAATCCACATAACAGACACAGATATACCACCGCCTGTATGTGAAAGCCAGATCCCGTCAAGCTCTGAAGCTAAGCAGGGAAGGGCATGGTTAGTTTTTTGTGTGTGTGTGCGTGTGTGCGTGTGTGCGTGTGTGTGTGTGTGTGTGTGTGTGTGTGTGTGTGTGTGTGTGTGTGTGTGTGTGTGTGTGTGTGTGTGTGTGTGTGTGTGTGTGTGTGTGTGTGTGTGTGTGTGTGTGTGTGTGTGTGTGTGTGTGTGTGTGTGTGTGTGTGTGTGTGTGTGTGTGTGTGTGTGTGTGTGTGTGTGTGTGTGTGTGTGTGTGTGTGTGTGTGTGTGTGTGTGTGTGTGTGTGTACTTGTGTACTTGTGTACTTGTGTACTTGTGTACTTGTGTACTTGTGTACTTGTGTACTTGTTTTCAACTCCTGGTGGGTTCCATAACCTGAGATTCCACTCACGTCATGGGGACTGGTTTTACGTGGTGGGGCCCGAACACCGGACCCCACTGGTCCAAGCTTAATAATCAATGGGTAATGCTTTTCTAACGGTCCTTATGCAGTCTCTGTAAAAATATGGAAAGGACCCCTGGAGGTTTACTTTCCTGAAAAAAGTGTGTTATGTGTCGGAACCCTGGTGGTGGGTTGCGGGATATCAAGGAGGGGCACACTGGGGCAATTTCAGTCCAGCAGGCTGGAGCCAATCATGGAGCAGCACAACAGAGGAAATCAGGTGTCAGGCTAGAAAAAGGTGCAAGTGTGTGGTTCATTAGGCTGCAAGAAATCATGGAGGAGCACACTGAAGCGCACGCTTACAAACCACTGGTAAGTGCTGACTACAAGTCATGACTTCAAATTGTTATATAGAATGATTACAAATTATTTGTTGTTTGTGCAGCTTAGTCAAGAGTCCCTAATTGATGAGGTCGACTCAGATTCTGACGATTTAACTGTCAAGAAGAAACCTGTAAAAAAGTATGGAAAAAGAAAAATCAAAAACACTTTTCTTCAAGACTCGGAAAGTGACGAACCAAAGGCAAATAACATTGTTATCATGCAGCTGCAAAAGAAGAAAAATGGGGGGCGAGTATACAGCAAGAGACACTTCTGCCTCTACTGTTCAATGTCCTGCCACAAAATGTCCCGTCATTTGACTAGAAAACATGGAAATGAAAGTGACGTAGCCAGAGCATTGGCTCTACCTGTGAAATCTAAAGCACGTAAACTTCAGTTTGATTTGATCAGGAATAGTGGAAACCGTGAGCACAATTTTGAGGTTTTAAAGGCCGGCATTGGAACTTTAGTCCCAGCTAAACAGCCAAATTGCCCAGTTAAATCCAGTGAGTTTTTGCACTGTATAGACTGTGGGGCATTGCTTAAGCGAAAGTCGCTGTGGAGGCATGTGGCCAGGTGCCGGCTTTCACAGAAAGATGCCCAGGCTAAACCAGGTAGAAGTAGGGTCCAGTCCCTCTGCTCCCTAGCCCAGCCTGTACCGGAGGGCATCAGCAAAAAGCTGTGGTCTTTAATTTCGGCAATGCATCAGGATGAGGTCACGGGTGTTGTCAAAGCAGAAAAGGGGATTCTGAGACTCGGAGAGCACCTGTACTTAAAACACGGGCATGATAAGACAAAGCATGATTACATTAGGCAGAAAATGAGAGAAGTCGGTAGGTTAATTAACGAAGCAAAAACCGCAGGGAAACTGAAAACAATTAAGGATTTCTTTATTCCTTCCAACTTTAACCATGTGATTGATGCAGTCAGGTCTGTGGCTGGATATGATGAGGAAACAAATCAATACAAGACTCCATCCTTGGCCCTCAAACTCGGCCATAGCCTCAGAAAGCTAGCAGATATTCTTGAATGTGACTCAAAAATGGAGCATTGTGTTGATGAACTATTTATTAAAAACCTCCAACGAAGCCGGCTGCTTTTTGAGAAGAGGTGGGACGTCTGTGTTTCTTCTGCTGCCCTACAGACCCTCCGGCAAGCCAAGTGGAACACTCCGGACCTGCTCCCTCTGACTGAGGACGTTAGAGCCATGCATGCACATATTGAGGTATGTCGACCTGAATATGTGCAAACCCTAATAAGTGAGCCAACGTCTAAGCATTGGTCTAAACTGGCAGTTTTGACTCTTTGTGAGGTCATCATTTTCAATCGAAGAAGGGAAGGTGAGGTTTCAAAGATGCCACTGACAGCCTTTACCTTAAGAAGTAAGACTGGGATCCATTCTGACATTGCTCTGGGACTGTCCCAACTTGAGAAAAAGCTGTGTCAGCATTTTCAACGCATTGAAATTAAAGGGAAAAGAAGTCGGAAAGTGCCGGTTCTTTTGACTCCTGAAATGATTGCTTCGATGGAGGTGCTGGTGGAGAACAGAAGGGCCTGTTCCATCTCTGACCATAACCCATACTTCTTTTCCCGCCCGGGCGCAGACACCCACATCAGGGGATCAGACTCCCTACGCCAGGTAGCCAAAGAATGTGGTGCGGTGCATCCAGAGATGCTATCCTCAACCAAACTTAGAAAGCACATAGCTACTATGTCTACAGTTCTCAATATGAAAGAGAATGAGATGGACATACTTGCCAACTTCCTCGGCCATGACATTCGCATCCACAGGCAATATTACAGACTACCAGAGGGGACACTGGAGCTGGCCAAAATCAGCAAAGTGTTGATGGCCATGGAGCAGGGAAGAGTGACGGAATTCGAAGGAAAGAGCCTCGACCAGATACAAATTGAGCCTGAAGGTAATTCTTGATATTATTAAAATATGTATGATTTTTTTCCCCTAAAGGCCACTTGTATTTTTATTTTCTGTGCGACAGGGAGAGCAGTAGAGATCCTCTCACAAACGGACGGGCTAAAAGAAACTTCAAGCGGAGAACCTTCAACCATTCATCCAGATGCACCCCATGGTAGTGGCAGTGCCCCTTCTGGTAAGTGTACCAGGTGGGGGATTACAGCCAGGCTGCTTGGTCCTCACCCTGGGAGTGTATATTGCTAATATATTTTTATTTCTCTCCCTAGAACGTGTAAGAAAGCCATGGTCTGCATCTGAGGTGAAGGCTGTGGAGAAGACCATGACACCTTTCATACAGACTGGAAAGGTCCCTGGGAAGTCTCACTGCCTGGCCTGCATTAATGCCTCACCAGATGACCTTAGACATCGGACATGGAGTGGCATTAAATTCTATGTCAAAAATAGAATCACTGCAATTCGAAAACAAAATCTAAAATAAAATTCCTTTAAAATAGTTGTTTGGTTTCTATTGACTGTTTTGTATTACTTAAAGTCTTAAAGATTATGTCTATGGGTCCCATTCTGAACGGCCCTGTCAAAGGGACCCACCAGGTAACAAAAACGTGTATGTGTGTGTGTGTGTGTGTGTGTGTGTGGGGTAATGGTTGGAATGCTGGTTGTCTTGCTTCTGTCAGCCCCTGTGTTTGGAGTGAATTCATATTTCTGTAAAGCGAGTGTCATAAAAAGATACTGCATTATTGATATTATTATTATTTCTTAACAACATGATATTTCACATTCTAAAACACAAAATCACAATGTAAAAAGTATTATTCTTTGAGGTACAATGCTGTGTTCCCGGACCTTTTTGATCACCTAGCACAAAAACCAGCTGAAACGTATTAACAAGGCAAAGTTATTCTTATCAAAGTGTATTGACAGAATATCAAAAAATTGTAAAAATGTACTTGTCTTGTAATCCTACTTTCTTCCAAACAAAAAATCTTTAGACTGTGCCTTTAAGTACTCAGCCACAGTGTCGCCAATGTAAGCATTCTGTTTTGTCTGAGGGCTCTTATATATATATGTGTGTGTGTGTGTGTGTGTACGCAGGTGGACTTGGAGCCAGAGGGAAAAGTGTACATTGTGATTACGCTAAATGGATTCTTCACTGACGGTGAGTGCGGAGAATAACACCGCAGTGAGGAGTGGGCGGAGCCTGAGCACCTGTCTGCGAGCTGCAACAACAACTGTGCTAATGACTAAAGTCGTACCTCATCATTGCATCATGTGCCGCAGCGTTTGGCCCAAGGTTCCAGAGTTTGTAGCTTAATCCGTTTGTACCTGTGTGCAGAAGAGGCTTTAGTGCCGCGGGCGCAGAAGGCCCACAAAGAGCTGACTCGGACTCGACAGGGAGCCGTGCGGCGGCGTATCCACCAGGTCAACGGTCACAAGTTCATGTCCACGTTCCTACGGCAACCGACCTTCTGCTTCCACTGCCGCGAATTCATCTGGTGAGGGCCTCTCTGCTCTTCTTCTACTGTTCTGTGATGGAACTATGACCGCTACAAAGGCCAGTGATCAGTCTGTAATGGTCTGTAATGGTCTGTAATGGTCTGTAATGGTCTGTAATGGTCTGTGAGAGTAATAAGAGTAAAAGAGTGACCAGTTTCCCCTTGTAGTTGAGTCAAAATTCCAAAATTTGGAATTTTGACCCGTACAAAAATACATCAGCTGATTGATTAGCACTCCGACTTCTCCTGTGTTCAAATCCCGGTCTGCAGAGGGCCTTACTGAGTGGAGTTTGCATGTTCTCCCCATGTCTGCTCCATCACTCCTTTAATCCAATCCACTTATATATATCACATCCAATATATCACTTTTTGTAAAATAAGTTTCCAAAATGCTGTACAGAGATAAAAAAGAAACAATGTTGTTTTGTTTTTTTCTCGGATGTAGGAGCACCAATCTATCTTTGAACCGCTTGTTTGTTTTATTATAGGCCTTTACCAAATTGATTGGTTGAGATGATGGTAAAACTTCTTAAAACCAAGTGATAGAGATGCCCCGATGAAGTAGGTTTCAGTTCCAAGCTTCAAGTAGCTATGATGACTCAAAAAGTGATTCACCAAATAGTTTAAGAAACAATTAAAGGCGAAACTCCCAGCTTCTAAAATCTTAAAACTGGATTCTAAAAGTCAGTTTCCTTGTTGAATAGAGGTCAATCAAAATAAAATGCATGTATTTTATTTTATAAAAATGTTCTGACCGAGCAGAGCATCAACATCTGGAGATGGGGCCACTGTGCTGTAGTGACCATGCTCCTGACTCAGGTCCCAGTGGCATTTCAGGATGAGTCCAATGCAGAGGACAGATTTATGTACATCTATGTAACTATACCTAACCTCCCTTTATTTAAGGCAGTAATAGTGTAATAAATGTTGTGGTCCAACATTTATTAATCACAGCTGTGTTTGAATGAATGCAAAGTGTATTTTTTTTGTTTACATAAAACATCTGTTTCATGTAAAACCACTCACACAGAGGCTGCTCCTGCTCAGAATGTCTGCTCCATGATGAGTGTGAGTTTATTGTGAGTTTATTGTGTGTTCATGTGTGTGTTTGTCGTTGTCAGGGGAGTGTTTGGAAAGCAGGGTTATCAGTGCCAAGGTGAGTGCGTGTTTTTTCTCTTTTCATCGTTCATTCATCATCACAGACATTAAGTCATGTCAAATGTTCAAATGTTTTCCAGTTTGCACGTGTGTGGTTCACAAACGCTGCCATCAGCTGGTGGTCACAGCCTGTCCTCGCATGACCAAGACCAAGACTCACCATGAACAGGTGAGACAAGACACTATGAGCTAGTTATCAATTTATTATTTATTATTCATTTTATTTATACGAAACCTGCACCATACAACATCACATAATGATAATGTGGAAAGTATGAGGAAGTAGCACAACTACTGAATGAAGTCATTACTTTTTGTTGTGGCTTTATTGAGGTCAGATGTCGCATGAAATGAGACGAGAGGTTAACCGTGGAAAGTGACCTTAAACGCTTGTTTACATTTCTGTCATTTTAACTAGGCCTCTAAAAAAAGTAAAGTTAAAATCTGTTTATGTAAATGTTGTTTTTGTTCCCTAAACAAAAGTTGATGCAGCTTTAGTCACTTTTTAGTGTTAGGCTGGAGTTTCTCTCTGGCTATTTTTTATAGCCGCTTATGTGGCCAAGTATTCTATCAATTAATAGTTAATTATGTCGAAAGGGGAGTGAATATGGGATACTACTACATTCTACATTTGACCCAAACAAAGCTGAAGTGATGCCTCTTCACACACATTTTATTCTATTGTCAGAATAGAATTATCTGAGTTATAAAACCTCTTCTCAGCATTTTCTTACATTATGAATGTGTTTTTTTATATTTATCTATTTAACTTGTGTTTGGTTCAATTCTCGGAATAAATGTAATAGTATGTCTTTATTCTATTTATTCTTGGGGAAATTAGCTTTAAAAATATGTACAGTGGCCCCTTGTTATGACACGGTTTGGCGGCCTTGCTGTTTTGCTGATCAACATCATAAACAACATTATAAACATCAAATACAACACCATATAACCGCTAGTACAGGGGTGTCCAAACTTTATAGTAAGAGGGCCACTTTAGTTCACCAGACTATTCCAGGGGCCGACATCACGATCAAGTTGGCTGAATGTCACATGTTTACCATCTCACCAGTTACATTAGCACCATTAACGGAAGTTTGTGACAGTCAACACCTGGATTCTAGACGCTCCTGGGCTTTAGAACAAGGTACAACATGTCCTTATTGGCTGAGCTGAAGTTGGATGGATGACACAGTGAACTATGTTTATGATCTCAAAGACTACTTTGGGTTAGAAAGGCAGAGGGCCACATAAAATTACATTGAGGGCCGCAATTGGCCCCTGGCCTGAGTTTGGACTTTTATGTTTAAGTCAGAAGAAAACTTATGTGGGTTAAACAATTATTTCAATAATCGATTAGTTGCGATTAATCCATTACAGCCTGAAACCTTCTAGACCTCTCCTCATTGGTGTTTTGTTTCCTCAGGGTTTCAGTATCAACGTCCCTCACAAGTTCAACGTCCACAACTACAAGTCGCCCACGTTCTGTGACCACTGCGGCTCGCTGCTGTGGGGCGTCGTCCGCCAGGGGCTGCACTGCAAAAGTAATGTTCATGTTCAGTACCTGCCTGGTTTATGCTGTCCCCTTGTATGCAGTCCTGTCCCCTTGTATGCAGTCCTGCTCGTATAAATATGCTCTCCTCTTTTTTAGGCTGTAAAATGAACGTTCACATTCGCTGTGAAGGAAACGTGGCCCCAAGCTGCGGCGTCAACAGTGTCGAGCTGGCCAATAAGCTGTCGGAGATGGGTCTGCATCCAGGAGGCCGCTCCAAACGTACCTCCACGGTACAACAGCATACACACACACACACACACGCACAAAGAGACATATAAACACAGAGAGAGTCACACACACAGACATTTACACTCACACACGCACTCACACACGCAAACACACACACACCAGTGGAAAGGTTCTGAATGCACGCTTGTGTCACAGATCAGGAGCAGCAAGGTGATAGAGCCAGAGCCCACAGAGAGCGCAGAAGTCCAGGACCACAGAGTGACGCTGCGGCTGGACAACTTCACCTTCCTCCAGGTCCTGGGCAAAGGCAGCTTTGGGAAGGTGAGCACAGATAAACCACATACGTCTTTACATGAAGCGTTATTTGCTCAAAACTGCTTTCCTTTCAAAAGGCTTTCCGAGATGTTTAGTAGCATTTCCTCCACGAAAGTATATTTCTTAGCGTATTTAAAGAGAAAAGAACTGTAGGTACTTTCTATATAGTTTTAGGGTTGTAATTAAGGATTTTTATGAAAAACGATTTGATAATGATAAATCTTACTTAACAAAATAAAAACTAAAACTGTTGGTTGTAGGCGTTTTTGAACAGATGGGTTCAAGTTGGGTTCAAGGGCGGCAGTAGCTCAGTTGGTAGAGCGTTGGCCTTTGAGCCAGAAGGTCGTGGGTTCAAGCCCCGCTCAAGACTTTCACCATCGACTCCCACTGACTACTGTTGTTGTGTCCTTGGCAAGACACTTAACCTCTGGGAACACCAGCCACAGTGGGGCGGCTGCGGCTGTAAAGTGCCAAACTGCCGTTGTGTCCTTAGGCAAGACACTTCACCCCCGTTGCCTAGAATGAGTCTGGTGTGTGTGTGAATGGTTGGTGGTGGTCGGAGGGGCCGATGGCACATACTGGTTGCCTCGCTTCTGTCAGTGTTTCCCAGGGCAGCTGTAGGCAGTGGCTACATCAGTAGTTTATCACCACCGTGTTTGGAGTGAATGAATAATGACACATGTGAAGCGTCTTTGAGTGTCCAAAAAAGCGCTATATAAAACCGATGCATTATTATTATTATTATTAAGTTCCTGATCTGATGTGGAGAGAGTGCAAGAGTTTTGGGGCAGCTGCAGTGAGGGATTATTCTTAGTTATATTATTCATCTTTATTTCAGACTCAAGATAAAATTGGTCCATGAAAACAATATATCTTTTGATACATTTGACCAAAACCAATCCAAGGCGATGCCACTGGAGATGGAATCAAACCCAGGACCTTCTTACTGTGAAGCACAAGCGCTAACTGCTGTGCCACTGTGCTGCCCCTGAGACACGCTCCGCTCGGTCTCATGCTGCCTGTGTTCTGTCTGTTTTCAGTGTTATCTGTGAGCCACAGCCGCGTGGGGGTAATGGAACATAAATAATATGCATCCTACGCATTTCCTGAGACTTGGGTTAAAACTCCCCAGAACGTATTTAACCCCAAGTGACCCACGGGAAACGGATTATACATGTTGAACAAAAAAACAATTGGAACAAGCGGATCTTAAGAATATGGTTGTTTTCTTGGAGAATTAGCGTTGTATAAATGTATAACATGCCATAGTCACCCATATGAACCCCAGAATAAAAAATAACCCAGTGTATCTGAGGACATTTGCTCTTGAAGTGTTACTGTCCACAAGGGGGTGCCATAGGAATCTTTTTTGGTGCCCCTTTTATTCATCTTGTATATCATTTTTATGCTGATGATAGAATTATCTATTGCTTTGGATCATCACTTGAGCAGGCTTTTAATTCTCTACTGAAAGCCTTTGCTTCTGTACAGAATTATTTTGTAAATCTAAAACTACTTCTCAATGCTGACAAGACAAAGCTAATGCTGTTCTCAAAAAAAAGAAGCTATCTCAAACTCCCCGGTGGTGTCCACTCTTGAGGAGAATGGCATTGAAGTGGTGCATGAATACAAATACCTTGATGTTATATTTTATGACGCTCTCCTTTTATCAATGAACTTGTGAAGAAATTAAAAGTTAAGTTGGGTATCTTCTTTCAAAATAAGACATGTTTTTCTTTTGGGGTTAAAAGGCGCCTTGTCTGTGCTACCTCTTAGTGTCTTCAAAAGCTGGACTACCATTCTTCCCTGAGGTTCATCACAGCGAGACTGGAAGCTAATGCTCGGTCAGCTTCCTTGAATGCTTTCAAATCAATACTCTGAGTTTTTTAGACGGCCTCATTTACCTGTAATTGTTTGACTTAATGTGTGTAGTCTGTATACCTGTAATTTTAATTGAATTTTTACTCTCTGTTGTGTTTATGTGTAAATTTGCTGCCTCTTGGCCAGGACTCCCTTGAAAAAGAGGTTCTTAATTTCAATGGGATTTTTCTTGGTATTTAACCAGGAGTTGATATATATTTTCTAAATCAATGTTTGCAAGTTTTGAAAATCCTTTCAAGTACTGACTGTAATACCTGCGTGTAGTCTGAGGGGTCTGCGTTCCCCCAGTTGGGAAACACTGCTGCAACAAAGCTGAGAATCTGATGATTGAAGTGTTGGCGTATCGTTGCAGGTGATGCTGGCGCGGCTCGATGACACGGAGCATGTGTTTGCTGTGAAGGTGCTGAAGAAGGACATCATTCTGCAGGACGATGACGTGGAGTGCACCATGACGGAGAAAAGGGTGCTGTCCCTGGCTCGCTGCCACCCCTACCTCACCCAGCTCCTCTGCTGCTTCCAGACACGCGTGAGTCTCAGCATGTGTGCATTTATAACTACCACCATTAAGATACTGAGTCAAAAATGTTAAAGTTTACATCAATACAGACATATACATCTAGACAGACATATACTGTAGATATATCTATACAGACATATAGATACATAGATATATCTATACAGACATTGATGGTGGTTGAAGGGGCCGATGGCACATACTGGTTGCCTCCCTTCTGTCAGTGTGCCCCAGTGCACCTGTGGCTACAGTAGTAGTTTATCACCACTGTGTATAGAGTGAAATGAATAATGACATGAGAAGCCTCTTTGAGAGTCCAAAAAAGTGCAGTGCATTGTTTTTGACTATTATCACAGTTAGAAAGCTCTAACAATTCCAGCACTCAGGACAGTGTACAGCCTGCAGTTGCTCTGTCTTACAGCAGATGGCAGCAGTCCTGCAGGTTCTTTCTGATCCCTTTGATCATGTGATTGAGCTGAAATGTGGTGTGTGGAAGGCAGGGCTGGACTGGGACAAAAAAACGGCCCGGGCATTTTTCCCTTCTTACCGGCCCAGGCATGTTTTTGTCACGTTTTTTTACAGTTTGTTTATACCAGGGATCGGCAACTCAAAAGGTTTCAAAGAGCCCCATATTTGACAAAAAACTAAAACATCTGTCTGGAGCCGCAAAAAAAAATAACAGCCATGTAGAAGCCTTATATGAAAGGTTACACAATGTAGCTACATTAGCTACATTAGCCGATTATCTAAATGACCAAGTAAAGGCTACAATACATAATAAGCATTCATGATTATCTAAATGTGTGTTTTCACTGGCAGCGTGTCTGGAGAGAATGTGACGCACCACGTTGATGACTCTGCTTTAACTTTGACTTCCATTTTTTTGCCTTCATGCAACTGTAGAAATACAGTAATAAATCTGCTTTTTGGCTCAAAGGTCACACACCTGCACTGTCCGCTCATATCGATCACGTCACAGGACTGAAGTTTGCTGGAGCTGAATGTCCTTAATGGCCTTTTCTTTCACAGTCTTTGCGGAGGTTTTGAAGTCTGAAAAAGGTTCTCCGGGATTTGTATGAAAGAATCCTTCACGTTAATCCCTGTGAACGGTGTTTAGTGCTTCATTGTTCCTCGTGTTGCAACAAAACTTCCTATTACATCGCAAACATGAAGCAGTCCTTCCTCATTGACTGAAAGCAAAATGTTCAGTCTTGTTCTTAGTCCAGTCTTATCGACTCGTTCTCTTTTTTATCTTGGGATCCGTGCGCACACGCGGTTTGTTTACAGCAGTGGCCGCCTGGCGCGGGGCCGCGTCACAGGATATGACGCACTACGTTGACAGAAATGTTGAATTGAATATTACTTGTACACATTTTTACAGCATTGAAATAGGTTAGGAATCGTTTTTTCCTCCTACAGAAACCACATTCAAACTAGGAATAAAATATAGCCCTCACACTCATTTTCAGACATTTCTGAAAAAGGCTCCAGGAGCCACTGGAGGAGCACATAAAGGTTGCCCCCCACCCCTGGGGTATACACTATGTGGAAGCAAATACTGTAGAGGGATTCAGGATATGTGCAGTTTCAACAATAAAAATAAAGTACAAATAGTCTACATTAAAACAGAGTAATAAACATGTCTCAGAGTGGGGAGGTGACACAGACAATACTATTGTTTGTTACAGGGATGAGAATTGGTCAAAAAAAGTCTGAAATGCATAATGTCAGCCATTTGCTGGCTCTAAATTGTTTAATTTGTTCACCACAATTATTTTTACTTTTGGGCTCAAACATGTACTTTTAATGCAATGGAAAATGTAGGCACCCGAGCTTTAATTTAGTCGCAATTCGAGAGGAGAGGGGAGACGCGGACTTTTCCTGCAGCGGGTATTTATTGGGTGCACAAATTACGTAAAAGGACATGCATGGTCCTGTGCGCGTTTATGGTCTTGGGTACATGGTCACGTTGTGGCTACGCGCTCACCGTGTTGTGTTGTGAGCGGCTCCCGGTGAGCGGTTCCCGCGTCCAGCTCAGAGCCGCTGGATGCGGGAACACTGCGGCCGCTGAGGTGGTGGAATCCCGTTCAAGTACATACAGCAGGTGCCCCGCGGACACGCGCGCCCCCTCGAACAGTTTTTACACTGTTTTTACACAACGGATTTACACTTTTCACAAACATCTTTTTTGTATGAGGCAGACAGACAGGCCCAAATATGGGCATCGGCCCTTCTGGCATTGCCCGGTACGCCCGATGGCCAGTCCAGCCCTGGTGGAAGGGATGTGATGGTGGAAAGACTGTGGCTTTTGGCTGGGTATGCGCTCTCCAAGTACACCTTATAGTCTGTACTTGTATTTGTCTTTGACCCTCTTCATGGCTGAAAATACCCTGAGCTGCTGCGTCCAGTGAAGGCAGAGGGATTAGCACACCGTAAGAGGAACCATTGACAAAACGGCATCTGCAAAACGACTTCTTCAGGGCGGAATCCTAGTTGTGTGAGAGTAAAAACAGCCCCCTTGTCCCGGTTTATAGTCCTGGGGGCATGTTTTCATATTTCTACTGTCTCTTTTATCCAGCCACTATGTTTGATGACTAATGTTTATTATGCATATAAAAAGGAACTACATATGTTCAATAATAACACGATTTTATAAATGAGCAGGGATAGGTGGTTGGTGAAACAGATATTTGAGCACTGAAGTCTCAAATTCCTCAAGAGGACTACAAGCATGCATGAGTCAAGTTGAACAATGACTACATGATTATAGCAATAAGACCCAGTCAGATCTGGACCAGTCTTCCTCTGGAGATGAGGGAGTGGCCCACGCTTCAAACCGCTGAAATCCAAACGCTCATGTGATCACTAAAACCTGATGCTTTATCTTTTGTTTACATTGTCCTTTGTTATGCTACTCACTTGTAGTGATCTCTTCTATGTAATCTTTAGTATCATACGGTACGCATGTTGTGCTGGTGTCTGTATCTGCCTTAGGGACAGCATATGAATGAGCGTTGTAGCTATTATCTGGAATAGAGAAATAGTAGTAGTAGTACTTTTGTTCAAATTTTCTGTACAAAAGACAAAAAAAAAATTTAATCGATGAAAAAACAATGGTTTTTTTCACACACACACACACACACACACACACACACATATGCACATGCACTCGCACACAAACTTACCTCCAGATGCTTCTTTTATTTACATTTATTAATACTATATGTTCATTCAAGCTGGAGTACCTAACTTTGTTTGGTGGTTGTCCCAGAAATAGTCTTATCTGGGTAACATTTTTTCAACTTATTAGAAAGCGTTTTATCTTTCACAGACTGAGAGCTGATTGGCTTTGTGAGGGCTCTCTTCATCACTGATAAAAACACGTTTATAAAAGCTTGTAGTAGAAGAACAAAACAGTTTTGAAAGCTAGGATCTAGTTATATGGATTATAATTCTCTGCTCATTTTTATGATTTCAAAGTTAGGTACTCCATCTTTAGTGTGCCAAATCAAATGAGTTATAAAAATGAAACAAAGTAGAGTTCCATTCATCCATCCATTTTCTTCCGCTTCATCCATTGCCGGGTCGCGGGGGCAGCAGTCTAAGCAGAGACGCCCAGACTTCCCTGTCCACACACACTTCCTCCAGCTCGTCCGGGGGGACCCCAAGGCGTTCCCAGGCCAGCTGAGAGACATCACAGGACACCTCCAGCGTGTCCTGGGTCTTCCCCAGGGCCTCCTCCCGGTGGGACGTGCCCGAAACACCTCCCCAGGGAGGCGTCCAGGAGGCATCCGGAACAGATGCCCGAGCCACCTCAACTGGTTCCTCTCGACATGGAGTAGCAGCGGCTCTACTCCAAGCTCCTCCCGTGTGACTGAGCTCCTCACCCTATCTCTAAGGGAGCGCCCAGCCACTCTGCGGAGGAAGCTCAGAGTAGAGTTTATAAATTATATTTCTCCTTCTTTATCAGCTAAAGCTAAAGAAGCTATTTGGGATCTGTGATGCAAAACCAACATTTCCCCACTGTGGGACAAATAAAGGTTCTCATGTTTACTATTGTCTTTTTGTTATATGCAATTGTCTTTATTTGCATTATTTAAAGGCCTGACAGATAGCAATGACATTTAAAAACAAAATAGATGCCCTTACTATAACCAAAAAATGTCCTCTGCATCCAACAAAATCAAAAAAATCAATCAAAAAAGGCAAAACCTATCTTCATTGCCACATAGCAGAATGAAGTGACTGTGAATGTGTGTCCGCTACACTGGCCCTTGTTAAAACCTGTTGCTCTCCTCCTCAGGACCGGCTCTTCTTCGTGATGGAGTTTGTGAACGGAGGCGACCTCATGTTCCACATCCAGAAGTCCAGAAAGTTCGAGGAGCCCAGAGCGCGCTTCTACACGGCCGAGATCACATCCGCTCTCATGTTCCTCCACAACAAGGGCATCATCTACAGGTGGCAGCCAACGTCCCTTTAATCACCCACTTCTCACGTTGCATCTGACCTTCTGCTCCTCACACCAGTGGAGAAAGATAAAACCCAACAAACCCGCAACGTCCCGTGTCGTGTTTCCGACCGTGACAGGCAAATATTAGACTCCAAACTTGCCCTCTGACCTCCTTTGGATTGTAGAAGAGTTTCCGCAGTGCTACACAGATAGCAGGCAGTGAATAATAAAACCAGAAAAAACAAGCAAAGAATGAAATGCCCAATCTTGACGCCACTCATTTACAACTATAAAACCAAATCAAATCAAATACAAGCAGAAAAAAAAACATCAAATCAATTAAATGAAATAAATGGAAATATTACTAATAAAACAGTAGTAGTATAGTTAAGTTTTAGAGTTGTCGTCAATGTATAGGAGTGTGTACATTGTGTGTGTATGTGACATTTTGGGCATTGGTTGTTGTCAATGGAAAACTTTCTGTGTCAGAATGCTATGCCGTGACCTATAAATAGACCGCAACACCTCAGTTTGTGTCCGAGGCCACTCACCGGCCGCTGAAACCTCAGAGGATGATTGAGAGGGCAGACCAGGGCAGACCAGGGCAGACTTGCATTACACCACCGAGAAGGATTTCAGCTCCAAAAAGCTGATGAATAACCTGCTGGATCTTCTCTATAAGTAATTAGTTTGTTTTTGTAATCTATTGGTAAAATATAACAAAGTATTTCCCTTTTTCAATTTTTCTCCCAACTTATTCATGAAATTTAATAGGGACTTGAAATCATGTTAAATACTTCTAATATTGAGGGTTTTGTTGGGTACAAAGGATTAGAGTGCCCTAATCCTACCTGAAATAGTGTTGGCCTCATAATACTGTAATTTGTATTGTGCGTGGAAAAAAAAGTGCTGACGGTAATTATATGTCTTGAATAGAAGAAAGATTATTCTATGGTGGTCACTAAGCAGCACTAAAAATGCCAACAACTGCATAAAAACATACGGAAAATAGAATAAAATCTCTTTAGTCAATACAATACAAATTCAAAGCGCACACATACACGTAAAAGACAAGACACAACAATTTAAAGCAACAATCACAGACAAACAAAAACACAAAGTATGAGTGTGTTGTTTGCATGTGTATGTGTGTGTTTACTGTGTGGTTATTCGATGATTAACCCCAAAAAGGAGGAAGAGTTAACATCATATTTATAATTCAGTGGAAATGGTTTTGAAGGTTGTGGTTGTGCTGTTCTGACTTTGCGGTATCTGTGTTTGTGTGTGTGTCTTGTTTCTGTGTGTGTGTGTGTGTGTGTGTGTGTGTGTGTGTGTGTGTGTGTCTATGCGTTTTGTTGTTCTGTATCTGTTGTCTGTGTGTGTCTTGTTTATCTGTGTCTGCTGTATGTGTGTGTCGTCTGTTGTCTATTGGCTGTCTGTGTGTGTCTTGTGCCTGTGTCTCTGTGTCTATACGTTTGTGTCTGTGTGGGTGTATGTTTGTATGCCTGTGTCTCGGTGTGTCTACTTATTTTCTGTCTGTGTCTGTGTGTGTGTATGCATGCATGTGTGTTTCCAGAGATCTGAAACTGGACAACGTTCTGCTGGACAAAGACGGTCACTGTAAGCTGGCAGACTTTGGCATGTGTAAAGAGGGCATCTTTGAAGGAGCCACTACTGCCACCTTCTGCGGGACCCCGGACTATATCGCTCCAGAGGTCAGTGTCTCACCTGCATCACAACCAAGATTTTAACAATCCTATGGACTGGTGCGAGTTAGAAGTTTTTCACCACATAATTTGAATTTGAAGAGTACAATGATTCATTTAATTTTCCATAGTGGAATACATTTGCAAAAGTCCCCAGTGTGCACCAGACAAGTACATACATAAAACAAGTTAAAAAGTACTCACGGTGAAATCTATCAACAAAAACAGTGCAAGATCATAATTAAAATGCTTTGTTTAAACTGATAACAGCTTGTGGAAAGAACTGTAAGCAAAACGAGATCTCCTGCCTCCTATTCTATATTTATCCATGTCTGACTCTGTAACCAGTTGAAGTCAAGACACAGGCCCAAACACTCTCTGACCACACAGTTTCTTCACGTAGTAACTCTCGGTGCTGTGACCTCTCCAGATCCTGCAGGAGATGCCGTACGGCCCGTCGGTGGACTGGTGGGCTCTGGGGGTCCTTCTGTACGAGATGCTGTCAGGCCACGCCCCCTTTGAGGCGGAGAACGAGGACGACCTGTTCGAGTCCATCCTGAACGAGGAGATCGTGTACGCGTCGTGGCTCAGCGCCGAAGCCGTGGCCATCCTCAAAGCGGTCAGCGGTCTTGCTTTAAACGTTTAACTTGCAATGTCAAAAATATATATATGACGGACTCAGCAGAATCTGAATTGGTTTGATTGGCATTGTTCATTCAGGCTTGGTCTCCGTTTAAATGTGGAAAACAAAAAATATCATAATAAGAATAATCTAAAATCTGTCTAATGAATCCGTCTTAAGCTAAAGATATAACAAGAGATAAAACTAGACATAGAATATTAGTACACTATTCAAGATTATCAGACTATCACTTGCATATGACAACAATACTGTGTTTTTGTTGATGATTCCCATGGCAGATGTTGTACATACTGCATCTGTGTTTTTATGACAGTCGCTTAAAAACACGGGCCTCAATAACTACAGGAACATTCCTTTAGTGACCTTGAGCCTGTGCAGAGTCCAGCTGTAGGCCATGATTTTTATGTAACTATATTAAGCCATGGTTCAGGAACTTCCCTCGCTCTCTGCAAAACACACACTTCTACTAAGCTTTAGATTGGTTTACAGACATATATTCAAAGATTGGGTGGTAAGAAAAAGCATTTCGAGGCTGTAACACACACTGCAAAAAGTGATGAAAATTAAGTGTTTTTAAAATGCTCAAATTTGGGAAAACGTATCTAAATTTGAGCACATTTTGACTGCCTTAAAACAAGATTTGCCAATGGGACACGCACATTAATCTTGTTTTAAAAAATCAAATGTCTTCCATGCAATGATAACTTACACTTCTTGGATTAATACTAAATAGTTTGTCCCTTTGGCAAATCTTTTTTTAAGATAAAAACCACTCAACTCAAGCATTTATTCATTTTATTTAGTTTTTTTTTTTTGCAATGTATAAAGGTTTCTTTCTGTCTTGTGTACAACAGATTATATTATCTGTTATCTCTGTATTGATCTTGAAACCGTCTAGTCCCAAAAATGTCCTCTTATATATATTTGGTTTATGCCTAACATTAAGCAACAACTAAGTTTTTATTATAACATTGGTCTACCTAACTTTTTTCCTTAGTGTTGATTTTTTAACTCCTTGTAGAAGTAAAACAACAAATCAGATCACAACATTCTGTCCTCATTTGACTAACCTTATCTTTTGTGTAAGAAAGAGCCCTGTGACTGTGACTGAGTGAGGGTGGTCCTCTCTTTTCCACTTTTCTGACGGAAAAAGCTGAAAAATAGTGATAGAAACTCTTTTGAAAGCGCAGAATCACTTACACGATGTTCATTACAAATCTCAACGTCTTGCGGTTTGAAAGATAGGTACGCCTGCTTTAATTACATACTTTTACATGTATACACCAAGGAAACACACCACTTATCTGGAAGTTTTTCCACATAATGTCTGTGGCAGCAGGCGCGTCTGTGCAGGCTCCTGGGAGTGAAAACAGCCAGGGCACGAGATGCTTATCAAAACAGGCACATATCATTCTCTCATGTTCTCATATTCCATAGAGCATTCCGGTTTATTTTTACCTCCGCTGCAAATTTAGCCCATGTACTAACGATGATGAGGATTCACGATTATGTTTGGAAAATCACATGGCCTGGTCTCCTGCTCCCGAATGTGCCGTTTGAATTGTTGTTGAAGCTTTTCTCTTAACCGTAGACATTGAATAGTTGCAATTTAGTTTATGTTAAGCAAACTCTTGGCAGCACGGTGGCGCAGCGGTTAGAGCAAGAAGGTCCTGGGTTCTATTCCACCTCCTGGCCTTTCTGTGTGGAGTTTTCATGTTCTCCCCGTGTGTGTAGGTCCTCCGGGTGCTCCTGTTTCCCCTGTACATGCACAATAGGTATGAATGAAATGAGTGAGTGAATGGATGGTGTTGATTGAGGGCTTTGATCCGCTTCCGTCATCACCGTTTGTTTAGTGAATAAAACCATATCTTAACTCTCAACAATTGTAAAGCGCTTTGCGTGACCTTAGTCTGTGAAATGCGCTATATAAATAAATACTACTACTACTACTTATATTTGATAAGTCATAGGGTCTTGGTGTCCTGCTTGAATTTTTAAAAAGCGTTCGTCTTAATCTTTAGTAAAGAAGTTCAAGCACACATAGTAAATTCTTAGCTACTTGATTAACACTTGTTGATTAAAACTCCCTCTGTCAACGTCTTAAAGTATTTTTTGTTTGCTTCCTTTGGTAAATAGTAGGTCTTAAAACCAGACCTGGAGCTGTTTATAGATCCATCCACGCTAACATCAGGAACTTTTGGCACAAACGTATAACTCTGCCCCTTCGGTCTAAATGTGGATGTAGTTATACAACTATGACATCAGACTTGGCAGTTTCCTTCTTTTTAAAACAAAATTATTGCCCCTAATTTAGTTTTGGTAATTTTCCAAGTTAAATTAGAATTTGTACAATCACATGTATGTGTTTGTTGTCAGGAATTTCACAGTTGGGAAAAAACCAAAACAAATTAAACTCCTCCTTCTGGTGCTAGCATCGGGATAGGAAGCTCTATAGCATTTTAACCCTTGATGCATGTTGCACTGTATATTTTCTATATTTAAATACAGAGTACATACTCTAATGTATGATGGACAAAAATAACGATATCTGAGTCTCTTGAGGACTGAATTACAGATTGAGAAAAAGGTGTGTACGGATCATAAACTGTCTATACTCAGTCTGGATGTTATTTGGATGTGGTCCAGATTTGTGGTTCCAGACAGGTCTGGTTGGAACAAGTCTAAGGTCAAAACAAATTCCAATGTTTTATAACAGTTAGAAAGTGACAGTGTTTAGGCAAGTATAAAATGTACTGTTGTATCTTGGGTAATAAAACTGATTGTGTTTGTTGCAGGCCTCTGTGTGAGTAAAGTGTGCGTCAAATACGTAATTCCCCTTTATTTGTGCAATGATTGGACTCTGAACATTGACCCAATTCTTTGGCTGTTTGTTTGAGGTGTAGTCTTTATCGCGTAGAGACAAGAGCTTGTCTGAAGAAAGTGCAGTTAATGGTAAAAACAATTAGTAGTAACCTTTTTTTTTGTCCAATTCAATAATAATCTGTGGAAAGAGTAGTTTTTTGTTTTTGTGTTGATCAGAAAGTGATGTGTTAGTTTCATCCACGTTTATATGAAGACCTTGTAGCTCAAATTAGCATTGTGTTCACCCCGTCTGTCTCATGGACAGAGCTGTTTTCTGCCTTTTAAAACAACTGTAATACACAAAGGTTTTGTGAATTTCTCAACAACTGTGTGCTACCGATCATATCTTTGATGTTTTGTAAAAGAAAAACTGACCCCTCTGTGATGAGATGGCAATGTTACTCTCAAGATTATTTCTTTAACCAATTTACATAATTATCCATACATGGATTTTACTTAAAGCTAGGATACCTAATTTTCAGACCATTGTTATTGAACTATGTAATTAAATCTATCCAACTACTTCTACTCGTACTTGTACTCAAAACAGTCACAAGTTTTCACCTGGATGTATTTTTGGCCCTGTCACAAATCTGCTTTATCAGACAGCAAAGTGAAAAGAAACTCAGCCCAAAGTGTTGAATACTCCCTCACTCTTTCTTACAAGTACGCAAAAGATAACATGTTTCAGCTTTTTCAGGCAGATGTGAACTCTCAGCCCAAAGACTGAAATACTGACTTTTTCTAATATTTCTTGAAGATATCATATTGTGGTCTGATCATTTAGACAAACTATATAAGCAAAACAAGTTATTTCAGTGTCTAAAAAGTGAGGTAGCCGAGCTTTAACTAACAATACAAGTAATATATAATAATGTTTTGATGCAAATACTTGGTCTCCGTGTCTGCCCACAGTTACTGACCAAAAGCCCCGCTCGGCGTTTAGGCTGCGTGGCTTCTGAAGGAGGCGAGAGCGCGGTCACCAGCCACCCGTTCTTCAGCACCATCGACTGGGACAAACTCAACCGCAGAGAGATGGAGCCTCCGTTTAAACCACGGATAGTAAGTCCGTCTTCTCTTACCACATCTACTCTGGCCTCTAACATGAAAAGAGGGATAGTATACACAAAATTAGGATTAGGGGACATTGAGAACCTACAAAAATCAATTAATCACAGGTTTGAGGTGTGTAAGTCTTCCCACCATCTTAATATACTGTGATTATTTATGATTTAGATAGATAGATAGATGTCCAGAAATAAAAAATAAATTGATCATTCTAAAATCCTAGCTAATAGTGATTTAATGCTTTGTGTAATTTCTATGTTTTGTTTTTGGTTTTGTCGAGCACTTTCAAATTCACCTTGCCAATTTCCCCATGGCACACTGCAGATTAAAGCTGGGATAACTTTAAAACTTTAACAACCTCATAAACCTTTCTCCTGCATGTATTTTTAACATCTGCCACATCAACTTTTTCAGACAGAAAAGGGACAAAGAGAGGAAATCAAAAATCAGCCCAAATAGTAACTCTCACGGCTCTTTCTTACAGGTTTGCAGTCAATAATAGGTTTTCTAATAAGATGGTATGCTCTGATTTGTTCACAAAATGTTACTTTTGCAAGAATCTTTCAGTTGAGCCACATGTATTGTTTATGAAATCGTTAAAAGTTAGATAAACCAGCTATAAAATAATCTGGAATGTTCCATAAATAAATAGTGATGGAATTGATAAAAGTTGAATAGAAAAGACTAGACTAGACTAGACTAGATTTTATGACATTAAAAACATGAGCAGATCTGCAGGGTGTGGAACAAAAGTGTATGTCGTAAACTATTGCAACACAATTGAACGGTAGAGTACAGTAAGAGACATGACAGCTGCTCTGCTGGTTTGATTTCTGAAGATCAATTAAAGCTGGAGCACCTAACTTTCTTTTGGTTCACGTGTCGTTTGTGCCAACACAAAGCTGAACACCCGAGCCTTGAAATATTCTATCTTATTTATTTTTTCAAGCAGATTGTAGTTTGAGCCTGGATTTTTATACGGATCTAAAAATGTGACGGAGGCCAAAAATACATGCTTGAGAGAACAAATGATAGAACCAATCTGTTTTTGAGCTAAAAACTAGTTTTTTATTAGCCTGGCCTTAGCCATCCGTACACTCCGCTCAATCATCCTTTCACTGCATGTAACCGTCTGCGTCTGGTCCCTGTGTTAGCGAATACAATCGGTTGAATTTCGACCGACCAACCAGAGAGCGCGGAAGGAGAGTGTTGTATTTAGTTGTGGATGACGTCAGGAGTTTGCGACGAACGGGAAGGTCGTAGTTTGGTAATGGCGAAAAATGCGATAGCAAAGTAATCCGGTCTTCAATCAAGAAATTGAAGACGGAGCAATAGGAATGTTTAGCAAATGTAATCGCTAGAAAAAATTGTGGCGCTACTCCCCACGGGCTCCGTTAGCAGCAAAGGAGATGGCTAGGCTAAATGCTAAATGCTAACGACTCACTCGGGCGCACTACAAACTCAGATCCAATCGTTTCAATCTGCAAAAGGAGTTTACCCCTCCCACCTGTTCACGGAGCACAATGGAGCAAATCCAGACCTTAGGAGGTGGCGGAGTTTGCCTCTTCGTAAATAAGCGATGGTGCGTTAACATCAAAATCCATCGCACGATCTGCACCCCGGATTTAGAACTGCTGACTTTGTCCTTAAGACCATTCTATCTCCCACGGGAATTCCCCTGCTTGGTGATCAGCTGTGTTTATGTGCCCCCGAGTGCTAACATCAAGGCAGCAGCGGAGCTACTAGCAGAGGATGCTAGCTCAATGATGGCCAGGTATCCCGATGCTCCGCTGTTTATTGTGGGTGATTTTAACAACTGTAGACTCGGCGCTGTCATGCCATCACTGCACCAGTATGTGGATATTCCCACGAGGAAGCAAAACACGCTGGATCTGTGTTACGGGAACATTTCTGATGCGTTTGTAGCTCGGGCGCACGCACCACTCGGCTTCTCCGACCACAATGTTGTTGTTTTGATCCCGCACTACCTGACGGGGCTGAAACGCGCTAAGCCAACCATCCACAGCGCCAGCGTGTGGTCGGAGGATGCAATTGCGCAGCTTCAGGGATGCCTGGCGTGCACTGATTGGGATGTATTTCAAGGGGACCTGGATAACAAGGTCTCAGTAATCACTGACTATATTAAGTTTTGTATTTTATCTACAATACCTACCAAAACGTTTAAGAAATATCCCAACTCAAAGCCCTGGATTACTTCTCACATTAAAAACAGTATGAATGAAAGGCACGCAGCCTTTCATTTAAATGACTGGAGCACTGTCAATACACTCAACAGACAGATTAAAAATGATATTATGAAAGCTAAACTTAAGTTTAAAGATAGGCTTGAGCATGAGTTTGGCAGTATGAACACTAAACAAGCATACCAGAAAATTAAGCTCCTCACCGGTCATACCCCAAGTTCCAGTCACCACGTAACAACAGACCCCACCATCTTTGCAAATTCATTGAACGATTTTTACACCCGTTTTGACTCAGTCGACCACTCTGCCGTTTGTGAAGAGCTGCTCAGTGCCCTGCCCCTGGACACCCCATCACAGCCCCCATTTACGGAGGGGGATGTACACCTACAACTTAGCAGGTGCAAGATGGGCAAGGCACCAGGCCCTGACGGTATCCCGGCCAAGGTGCTGAAGTTGTGTGCCATGGAATTGTCACCAGTCCTTCACTCAATCTTCTGGGACTCCTTAAGGCTGGCACACATTCCCACAGCTTGGAAAACTTCCACAATCATCCCGGTTCCCAAGAAGCCCAGACCATCCGAGCCAAACCACTACAGACCCATTGCACTTACCTCCATCATAATGAAATGCTTAGAACGACTCATACTCCATTCCATCCTCCCGACAGTCAGACCCCTGCTGGACCCCCACCAGTTCGCTTACAGAGCCAGACGAGGAACAGAGGATGCTGTTTCATGTCTCCTCCACCCCCTCCTTCAACATCTGGAACTACCTGGTACGTCTGCATCCATCCTGTTTATTGACTTCAGCTCAGCATTCAACACAATTCAGCGCCCTCAAATAATCAGGAAATTCCAACTCCTCAACCTGCCCCCGTTCCTCATTCGCTGGACTCATAACTTCCTCAGCAATAGACCACAGGCCGTCAGAGTTGACTCAGTGACATCATCCACCATCGTCACCAACACTGGCGCCCCCCAGGGGTGTGTATTAAGTCCATTCCTGTACACCCTCTATACAAACGACTGCATCAGCCCATTTCCAACCACCACATACTTCAAATATTCTGATGACACCGCCATTCTGGCCCTCTTGACAGATAATAATTCCATCACTGCCTACCATCAGTCCATCTCCCACTTCACAGAGTGGTGTTCTGAAAACTCTCTGGAACTGAACACGGACAAAACCAAGGAACTAATCTTCCACTCTCATTCACACACCCCAGACCTGCCTCCCACTCTCATACACAACAAAACAATAGAACGGGTTAATCACTTCAAATACCTTGGACTCACACTCGACAATAAACTCACCTTTGAACAACATGTCACAGATATCCATAAACGTTCCCAACAAAGACTCTACATCCTTCGTAAGCTCCGTGCCCTCTCTGTCTCTCCAAATCTGCTTCTGAAACTCTACTCTTAATCATTCAACCTATTCTCCTCTACTGCTCCCCCTGTTACTTTAACATGCTCTCCATCACCAACAGAAACAAACTCACTAAAGTCACACACACAGCATCCAAAATCATCAGTCTCCCCACCGCAGACCTCTCTCAGCTCAACCTCACAGCAGTAACACGCATGGCCCGGACAGTAAGCACTGACCCAGACCATCCCCTCCACACCCACTTCACTCTGCTGCCCTCAGGACGCAGATACAGAACTCTAAGATGGAAGAGGGCAAGATTTAGTAAAAGTTTTGTCCCTTCAGCGATAGCAGCTCTAAACAGTCTGTAATGTTGCCCTGTTCCTGCGTTGTATGTGTTTCCCTCCCTTCGGTGTCTCTTGTGTTTATTGTAACCTGTATGTGACAGTGCCTGTGAAAATGAATTTCCCTCAGGGGACAATAAAGGTCTATCTATCTATCTATCTATCTATCTTAGTATGAAATGTAATTTGTACTATGGTGTGGTACGACCAGGCTAGTTTTTTTATTAAAATGTCAATTTATTGTGGTTTCAGAGTTAGCTACTTTAGCTTTAAATTATTAGGACTTAGCAACTGGAATTTTGTTCCTGTATTTCAACATTTCTGTTTGTAATTAAGTCATCTATTTCATTATGTCAACAGTATCTAATGATTAATCATTCAAACGTTTAGAAACCAATCTAATGTGTTATAGTAATAATGTGTAATTATTGTTAACCCTTGGAAATGTAAATTTAAGTGATGCAGAATGAAATGTAGTGAATGATAAAGTGTTCTGTGGTTCTGAGGACGGTAACGCTATTGTAATTTATTTCTATAACCAGGGACTAGCTATAGTCTGCTGCAAAACATATCTGTCTATGAGCGTAATGTCTCCATACACTGTGCCATTAATAATGATTATAGTTAATTAAGTATTTTAACGATTTATTGGTTTCCTCAACCTCTTGGTGGATAACTATATCTACTTGAAGCTTGGAACTGAAATCTACCTCAGTGGGTCATCTCACATGGTTTTTACCATCAAACTGCATCTCAACCATTTCGTAAAGGCCTATAATTTAAAAAAAAAGGTTCAAAAAAAAGAAAGGAAAAACTTTGAAACAAATTATTTGTGTTATTAGTGCTCCTACATCTTAGAACATCCAAAAATTAAAGCAAAATTAAATTGCTTTCTTCAAGGAGTCACCAAGAGTATCATGTTATGTTTGTGTTGCAGAAAACCCCTGAAGATGTGAACAATTTTGACCCGGACTTCACTCAGGAGGAGCCCAGCCTGACGCCCATGGAGGACGCCCTGATCCCCTCAGTGAACCAGGAGGAGTTCAGGGACTTCTCTTTCACTTGTGCCGAGCTGCTGCTGCCATAGATTCTTCTGTAGGTGCCATATCAAAAACCATCAACAGTTACCAGACCACAACCTGCACAGAAGGAATGTATTCGATGAACCTCGAGTTTGTGTTAATGACAAACGACTCTCAAACTGTTGACTTCAAGTGTCTCTTTTACTTCTCTTGTATTTTTATATTTCCTTCTTTCTTGCTTTTTAAAATGAAATGTCACTTTTGGAGCTAGAATGTGTGATTTGTTATTCTCTTCAGAAAGCTACACCTTATATTATGGAACTTTATTACTTACGAAGCAAAGGAAGGTTTCTCACCCACTTCTTCATTCCCTGAAGAAGTCAGCTGGTTTGAGGACGAAACGTCGGGAAAACTTACTAAGAAGTACAGATGATGGGTGAGAAACCTTCCTTTGCTTTGACTAATCCCTGTACGACTGAGGGCTTACACAAATGTATTACTTACGATGGATCTTATGATCTGGACAATGTATAATGCAATAATTTCAGTGTTCTGATGATTCAGAACTTTTGGCTGCTTTGGCGAGCGCTGGTAGTTACAGTAATGCATGACTCTTGTCTGCCCTCCCCAACTTGTTCCGATAAAATGTCTGCAGAACCTCACACATATGTGAGAAAAACTAGAAAATCTCATGCTTTGTGGGTTTTTTACAACAGCCCTATGATATTGGATTCCTTCAGTTACCAGTGAGACAAACTTGAAATAATAAGTCGAAAAAATCAACCAAAAAATGCTGTTTAAGAAGAGACTTTTCATTTGAGAAAGTTTCCCATTTTTATCTCACAACAAAAGCAGTGATGTTCTCCATGGAGCGATCACAGGTCACTAATCCCTCTTGAGCTAATCTACTTAAGTATCTTGGAACGGAAGGGTGCTAACAAAGAGGAGACTAGAGTCAGCCTCTTAGGCCTTTGATCATAACGACTCAGTTTTTAACATTTTCCCTTTGGAGCAAAGAAGAACTTTAAGGAAGTTTGTTTGTTTCTTTAGTCCATGCAAAGTTGATGTAGAACCAGGACCGAGATACACCACACCCAAGATGGCCCAGAACCTGTTATACTCATTTCTATTCATTTAAAACATTGCTGCATTCTGAAACTATTCAGAGTTGCTTTTGAAGTGCCCTCCACATTACAGTATGGCATTAAACAAGGGACATCACCGAGCTAAATTACTGGTCATATGTCCAGAGAAAGGAATGTCCACTTTCTTTAAAGAAGAAATATTGTGCTTTATTTTTGGCCATTTTTGGACACAACAAAGAAAGGGATTAAGGGGGGAAAATGGATGGATAAATATGGAGTGTATATGAAGTATGGAGTGAATGAATACTGACATGTGAAGCGTCTTAGAGTGTCCAAAAAGCGCAACATAAAACCGATGCATTATTATTGTTTTTATATTGTCTATTTATACAATAACTACACAGAAGGATAACAAAACCTGTGGGTATGTTAAATGTATCTATCTACTGTTGTGATAAAGGGCTTTACAAAATGAATTGGACAAAGAATAGAAATATCAAGACAAAGTAGAATTTCTTGAATAAGTACAGTACAAAAAAGAAAAGAACAGAATTCACTCAAATGGAAAGATGTTTGAAATCGCTTGTTGTTTTCCATGGCTTTTGGGCGACAGAGAGGATGTTTTTTTTTTTTTTTTTTTTTTTTTTTTTTTTTTTTTTTTTTTTTTTTTAAAAGACACATTAATTTGCAATAAGTGTGAAAACATTGGTGTCTAATTTTTCATTATACTAAGTCGAACTCTTAACTTTGTTTAAATGCTTGAAGTGTATTTTTATTTAACAAAGAAAACATATAAGTGTAACGTACAGCCCCAACATAATTTGTAAAGGTAAATGTTAAAGAAACAATGTCCATATTTTGATATTATGTAAAGAAAATTCATGGCAATTTAAAGATTGCTTAAAGATTTTCTTTTCCTTGTTGCTGGGAGCTGCCAGGGATCGCAGCATAAGGGTACATTTAAAAAAAAAAAAAAAGATTCCTTGAAGTTTTATAAAGAAACTAAAAATGTGAGACTGAAAATGTGAGACCGGCTTTTATTCTGACAATGTTCAAATCCAGGTTTAAAACACTTTATCTATGCATACAATCTGAAAGGATTTGTAATGCATGGTGATTGATTATTATCTTGTTCTTTCTGAGCACTTAATATTTACCTTGCCTTTGAACTGTGCTATACAAATAAACAAATGTACTGCATCAATGTAGTCTCAGTTGAGGATTGTGGTGCAAGAAGCAGTTTTTGTTGATTTTTATGGTTGCGTCGCATATTTGCTCAAATGGGAAAATATCTGTTGGGTAACTTCTGTGGTCTGAGTTGAGCCTACAGGACAATGGATGTGTTTCTGCTGACGTCAGCTGAAAGGGGTCAATATCGAAGTTTTTATCAAATCCTGTGGCACTTGAAAGTCATAGATGCAATTGTTTTGGCAATATTTTGGAGATTGTGAATGATGAGAAACAAAAAAGTTTGACCCTCGTATCATTCGTTACTGGTTTTGTTAAGTCATATATGGTCAAATAAAAGGTTTCTTTTAATTTTTTAAAGATTTTAACGTAATTTATCCAATCTGTGGAGATCTCTCATATGCATAGCTGCCCTGGAATTTACCGAAACTGGAAGCTGCCCATTCTTCTTTTGCCAAGACGAATGGGCAGATTTACCTTTGGAGGATCACGACTAATAGTGATAATTTGAAGATAGAAAACCTGTTTATTTTACTCTACATGGCTTCATACACTAATAATGAGTGGATACAACTTTTTTGCAATATTCATAATCTCTGAAATATACCCCAGAAAAAATGTTTTAACCCTACAACACAACAACATCGATACAAGACCGAGCCACTGGAGTCTTGGATTCTCACTTGGATTCAGAAGGAGGATGCAGTGTCTTCTCTAAACCAGTTATTACCTGTTAATACCATTCCCCAGTGTTTTTCCTGGCACTCTCATTGCCAGTATGGACATGCGAAGAGAAGCTTGAGCTAATCCCATGTTGGGTCAGCGCTGTGCAACCCGTGGGCCTTATGTAACAGTTATACTTGCTCTGCAGTTTGAAAACGATCCTTCCCAAAGTCGCAATGACAGTTTGCTGTGATTCCACAAAATCAAGTCCATATTATGTAATGTATAAATTGTGCTTTTATCTTAGTGAATAATACCTTTTGAGTCCTGTTGCTTATGTAACTAGCCCCGCTGTTATTTGTATGAAGCCGTGACGTAACCGTTCTGGTAAAAGTTTGGCTTGAAATCAACGCAAGGGCTGTGTAGTGTTGATGTATTGATTGTGAGTAAAGGGGACGCTTCATTTTTGTACTATTGTCTTAAATATTAGTGTTTTTGTGAATGAAATAACTATTCAGTCATTTTTGAATATTTGTATTAATAGATTGTTTTGGTTTTAAGCAGCTGTGCCCAGAGTCAGGAGCAAACATGGGAAGGCAGTGTTTCAGGTCTATGCAACTGAATTCTGGAACAGTCTTCCCAAAAATGAGACGAACTTCATTTTTGGGAAGGCTTTTTCTAGGTTCCGTTTAGCTGTGCATACAAGAGAAAGATTGCCTCGTCTATGTGATTATTTATTTGAACAATTTTTTTTTCCATTTTCAGATTAAGAGATCCTTTATTCATCGCACACTGGGGAAATTTCAGTATTGCATCTCAAGTTCAAGACCGTAGGAATAAGGAGCACAGAATACATGAGCAATAACTCAGTACTAAATACAATACGATAAAATCTCTTTAGCATGAAAAAGTTGTATTAAATCTTTCTTTTGCTAACCGCTGTGAGTTGCCTCGTGTATGAACTGTGCTTGACACATAAACTTGGCTTTAGTCTCAACTGATGTATCAACAATGGACCACTGATTTATTAGACAGAATGTACAGTGCTGCCCTCTCCCATGGCCCCTCGCTCTGGAGCTGCTCCTGCAGATGGATTCAGTGTAGCCTTTGGACAAGTCACTAATTGGATGGTGCCATGTGAGCTATATTCTGTCCTAAAAGCCTCCTTGAGCGGCGCGGTTGGAAACATGATATCTAAATTTAGTGGGCTGTTTGTCTCGGGCGAAAACAACACGGCATCATCACAGATCGATACTAATGGCATGGGTGAAAACGAGGGACATTTTTGCCAAAGTGCTTCTTAATGGGAGAGCTGCAACAGGTCACTTTTATGGTCATGAGAAAGAATTGAAATTGTGCTGATTTTTTAAACTTGCTTTCCTGTATAAAACAAAAACTGTTGCCACTTTAGGACACAATCTTATTATTATGCCAAAGCTAGGGATTTTACACTTGCTTCTTTTTTATGCTGAGGTTAGAAATTTTATTTTATTTGAGTTATTGTTCTTTTATCATGTGTTGTGTACTCCTCAGTCCTCTGTACTTTGTATGTGCTCCTCAGTTCTACTATTCCTTCATGATGCAACACTGAAATTTCCCCACTGTGGGATGAATAAAAGATCTCCTAATCATTTTTTGACCCGTCTGCTTTGAATTAAAATAGCCTTTTAAGAGACAATCTTTTAAAACAAAGCATACAACCACATATTGCTGAGCTCTCAACCTTCTGTTTGTCTGAGACTGAAGCCTCATAAATAACAGTGAGTGGTGCTGTGTCGCTGGCTCCTTTCCAGGACGTTCCACTGAGTCCTTTGGCCTAATGCGGGGAAGGGGAGGGACAGGCCGTCCCTGTGTAGAAGCTCTCCTCAGGTCCCATGGATGGATGGATGTCATGTCCTTATTTACTTGGTTTTATTTACATATTGATAGAGTTGTAAAAGGGCGGAACATTTCTGGTGAATTTGTACATGGGAATGAGAAATGACATGGTGTCTGTTTGTTTTAGTAAAGATTTAGGTAAAATATACTGACCACAACTTTATTTAAGTTCCCTATAAAGAGCCAACCTTCATTATTGAAAATTCCCAGTTAATTCCTGTTTATTTCCATAAATCTACTCTACTATACCATGATTGGAAGTGTTTCCACCAGCCCTGTTTAACCAGTTTAACTGCTCTGACTGACAATTAATTCTCATTAATTCCCATAGAAAGTTTCCAACTTTAACAATGTCCTGAATTTTTTTTGCGACTAGTTCTTGACCAGCTTCTCTTTCTGCAGAGTGAGTTCCGAGCGGCGCAAAGAGAAGTCCCGAGATGCAGCGCGATGTCGGCGTGGGAAAGAGTCCGAGGTGTTCTACGAGCTGGCTCAGCAGCTGCCTCTGCCCCACAGCGTCAGCTCCAGTTTGGACAAGGCCTCCATCATGAGACTCGCCATCAGCTACCTGCGCATGAGGAAGCTGCTCAGTGGTAAGTGCTGCCCTCTGCTGGTACTACAGCTTTACTACAGCTACAGTTGTGGAGGGAACTCATAATTAGTTGTTTGTCTACTTGTCTGAGTTTGTAGTCACATTTGAGTGGTTCATTGAATCATTTTTGAAGTTTACAATAACTTTTTATGACTCAGCAAATTCTATAATCACAGCAGAAAGATGTCTTTACAAAGTCCAGGGGCATCACTTTAGATTTGTTTTGGTCAAATATTTCCCCCCGGGATTCCAACAACTAATCGGTTAAGTAAGGAATGTGTAATTACAGATTAAGTTTGATTTGCCCATTGCCTTCAGGCGTGGACTAAGAAAAAGAACAGTATATTATTCATCCATATTAAATCATTTACAGCTAAAACAGGATTGCAAAGAAAGTATCAATGATAAATATGGATCCCAAATTAGTTACCTCAAAAGTTCTAATACATCTTCAACTTTAGCACATTTTGTCATGTTTACAACCATAAACGTAAAGATTTTCATTTTTCGCTGAAGGTTCACAAACAAGTAAAAGGCAACTGAAGTGACATGGACTGGGACAGGGCCACAGACTGTTGTTGTTGCAAATCGATGACTGCAGAAACGCACGTATTTCCAAAACTTCAGCTCTCGTCTCGTTCAGTGCACCAAGCCGCTTTTGAGATTAATTGTACAAGAACATTCAGATTACTGAGCACAGTTCAATATGAGTGGCATTCTAACATGAGTTTCCACTCAAGGAGGAAGTCCGAGGCACTCTTGACAGTACAATTTAAATCCTTTAATGAACAGGGATTTTCAGGGACACCCACTGTAGCGCTCATCGCTCTTGAACTCTTGAACTTACTTCTGAAACATTTAGACACGAGACAATCTTTAGTGGCCGCTGGAATAATTTTGAATGATTATTTTTACTCTGACTCTGATAGAAATGGGCTACAGTGGCACGTTATTCCTAATTTTAAAGCTTACTTTTTCAGGAAAACAACCAAGTTAGGCCAATGATTTATTTTTTGTATTAAACTATGAATCTTCAACATTTTAATTTGACCAAGTTGTGATCGAATCCAAACCTACTAGAAAATAACTCCAAACCATGTCAAAAAAATAATTTGTCAAAATACAAAAATATGATAAATAATGGTAATAAAAGAAAACCACTTTTATACTTTCGTCTTCAGCCAGTTCTTTGCTTGTTTTTAAACTTTAGTCAGGCCTTCCAGACATGGGTCACCTTTAAGATCTTTGTTTCCTGTAGATGAAGCGACTGCGGAGGAGGAGAGTGAACTGGACTTGCAGCTCAACAGCTCCTTTCTGAAGACGTTGGATGGATTCCTCGTGGTGCTATCAGAAGACGGAGATATGATTTATCTGTCCGAGAATGTCAACAAATGCCTCGGGTTGGCACAGGTGAGTCTGCGGGGATGATGCTGTGAAGTGAAGTGTGGACTGGATTAAGTGGAGAATTTAAGATTGAGTTTCTTGGTGTTGTTGTGTGCAGTTTGACCTGACTGGACACAGTGTGTTTGATTACACTCATCCATGTGATCAAGAGGAGCTGCGGGAGCTTCTGGTCCACAGGACAGGTGAGGGGAGAGTGACTTGATCTGATCTATTTGACAGATATGGCAACAGCTCTAAACCGCCTCTTACTCCTCTTTTAATGACTTACTTCCTGTTTTTCAGGCTCAAAAAAAGCCAAGGAGGCAAACCCAGAGCGGAGCATTTATCTGCGAATGAAATGCACACTGACCAGCAGAGGGCGCACCGTCAACGTCAAATCAGCCACATGGAAAGTAGGTGGTGTTTGAATCTTTTTAGTATTAATCATGATCTTGTGTTTAAGATTTATTTATCAATCACTTATTTGAAGTTTATAGACTTTTTATGCCATTCTATAAATTCGACACTATAATGCCTGCAGAATGAAATTAAAATGTGCTTACAAAGTCCAAATCCATCACTTTAGCTTTGTTTTTGTCAAATGTACGTAAAATCTGTAACTTCTGTATACAATGTTATTTATACATCTTTATCAAGGACACAATACAATACAGTCCATAGTTGACATTAATTACTACTGATAATCAGTACAAAACACAACTAATAACATGAGCAAGCAGTTGAAAAGTAGTATCATTCTAATTTAAATAAACAAAAGGAGGTTAAGGATCTTATGGATGTGGCACTGTTGCTTGATCCATCAGTTATTGAACGAGAAGTATATATCCCTAATCTTTCTGTTTCCTCATGACGCATTTCCTGACCACACTGTACGGTGCTCTGTGCAGGTGTTGCGCTGCTCCGGACACGTTCGAGTCTTTGAGGACGTGAGTGGACAGAAGGAGCCTCCAGTGCCCTACGTGGTGCTGCTCTGTGACCCCATCCCCCACCCCTCCAACATCGAGGTTCCCCTGGACACCAAGACCTTCCTCAGCCGCCACACCATGGACATGAAGTTCACCTACTGTGACGAGCGGTCAGTGGCCTGTTCATTAGTACAGGCACATCGAGATACCATTGAGACAAATACCAATCATTTAAAACGTCTACCTTGTGAATGTTTTCTTTTTGTAAAATACAAATGGGTATTTTTGCTCTGAAAATAAGCACTAAGATTTAATAGGATATTTGTATTGTTTCAAGACATAGTTTGTAATAATCCCATTTTACTCTGTGAAAGTGTTTGGGCACTGGCTAACAGGTTATTGTGTTTGTGTTTAGGATCACGGAGCTGATGGGATATGACCCTGAAGACCTTTTAAACAGATCGGTCTATGAATACTATCATGCTCTGGACTCGGACCATCTCACAAAGACGCATCAGAACTGTAAGCAGTAACACGTCAGGCAAACGTTAGTGAGCGTTTCTTTGAACATCTGTTGTTTTTCTGGCAGTGTTTGCCAAGGGGCAAGTGTGCACTGGACAATACCGCATGCTGGCCAAGAGAGGAGGCTTTGTGTGGGTGGAGACGCAAGCCACCGTCATTTATAACAACAAGAACTCTCAGCCGCAGTGTGTGGTCTGTGTCAACTTTGTACTCAGGTAAATTGTGTGCTCAGCATCGTCACTCCATGTGCCCAACATACACTAAACATGTGAATGATAACAGCGGCATCGAGGAGCAGCGGATGATCCTGTCCCTGGAGCAGACTGACGAGGTGAAGCTAGTGAAGGAGGAGCATGTGGAGGCCAGGGCAGACTCTGTGGAGGAAAGCAGCCCAGAGGTGGTTCTTCTGGCCATCACCGACGAGAAGGTCCCTGAACTGGACGTCATCAAACTGTTCACACAGGCAGAGGCCCAGCCTCAGGTCAGCCTGTATGACCAGCTCAAGGAGGAGCCTGAGGCCCTCACACTGCTGGCCCCTGCTGCAGGAGACACCATTATCTCCCTGGACTTCAGTAGCCCTGGTATGTCAACACTAAAACGTGACTTTAAAAAATAACCTGATGAAAACATGTTGTTGTGTTGACAGACTCTGACATGCAGCTGTTAAAGGAGGTCTCACTGTACAACGACGTCATGCTTCCCTCCAGCAGCGACAAACTGGCCCTTCCCCTGTCTCCGCTGCCCCCCAGTGAGCCCCTCTTGGACCCAGTGCCCTCCCCTGAGCTGGTCAAAGCAGAGGGTTACTCTCCTGCTCCATGCACCACCCACATCAACCCCTCCCAGGTACTGGCCGCTCTGACCTCTTACTCCAACTCTGATGAGCAGGAGATAACTGTACTGCTTCTGCTTTTAGGCCAATCCAACTCCCCTGGAGTTATCGTTGATGGAAACAGATGTTAATTCTGAATTTAAATTGGATTTTGTTGAAAAAATGTTTGCTGTTGATACAGAACCAAAGACTCCATTTACAAAACAGGTACTGATGTTTTGACTTATTGCATTGGTCATTTGAGGCCTACTAACATTTGTGCACGTGTTGTAAAGGCGTTGGAAGACTTGGATCTGGAAATGTTGGCTCCATACATACCTATGGATGATGACTTTCAGCTGATAAGCCTGACCGGGGAGCCTCTGGAAATGCCCTCGGTGCATGTGACAAAAGAAAGTAGCACTTATCCAGACTCCTCTTCAGACAACAGCGAGTCTCCAGCTTCTGCTCCTGTCACTATCTCTCACTTAGCCACTGTAATCTCTAAGAGGTGAACGCTGCACCCACAGACGTACAACTGCCACACTTTTAACTGTGTCTAATCTCTACTTTGTATCTATCCTTCAGAACGGCACAGTTGGATAAAGAAGTGTCCCTAAGAACACAAGCTGCTGAAAATGCACAGCGAAAAAGAAAACTGGATGACAAAGTAATAGGAAATGTAAGCTGTTCTCACTTTGTATTTGTGTATATATATAATATATATATATATATATGATAGTCAAATGATTATCCAAAAGGGCTCATTGTTCTGGCAATCCTTTAAAAAACAGAGAGGGTCTGAACCTGCAGAAGGGGAGCGTGTAAAGAAGACTATTCTACCTTCAGGTGAATAGTAAATGAGTAAATGTCGGCTTCACTGTGACAGACTTACTCAACATGGACCTGTGTTTTGTAGACTTGGCCAGCCGCCTGTTGGGCACTTCAGAGAACTCTTCACCCCTCCTCACGCTGCCTCAGCTCACTCGATACGACTGTGAGGTGAACGCACCTCTACAGGGCCGCCAGTACCTGCTGCAGGGAGAAGAGCTGCTCAGAGCCCTGGACCATGTCAACTGAGACCCCTGCTGGACTAAACTGGACACTACACTTCCCCTCACACTCCTCCAGACCCTGTCCCGTCCCACTCCTTTATTTATATCTGTATGAATTTGATATCTGTGCTGCCGTTTGTGCACATCATGTGATCTTTGCAGCATTCCACCTTCACAAACGCCATAGCAGCACCTGCGTTTTGGTCCAAGGGACTGGGGCATCTGCAGGCCTCATGTTTGTTAAGTCTCAGCACACAGTGCCTCTACATTTGACCAACCTCCAGCAGGTCACACTGAACCTGGCGTCTGCCAGCAGCGTATTGTAAGCTTCAGTCGCACAATTTATATTTTCTTAAAAAGAAAAACTTACCAGCAATATATATTAAGCCTTTTTAATGTAGTTTTAAATGGAATTTAAATATTATGTTGTTTGTCTGTAGCTCAAAATTATGAATATAATGTTAAACCTGCAGTGGTTGAATGTTATCTCCTTGTATTAGCAATCAAACTTCAAATGTGTAGCATTCAATAAGTCCTTTAATCCATGTAAATGTAAATAATTTTACATTATTCAGCTCTGCTTCACAACATTACTCTTTTCTTGCTCCTCACAGCAGATTTTGAACAAGAGCCTTTTGTTTATCGTAGAGCGTGCTTTGAACCACGTCATTGTAAAAGATCTCAAACCTGTATTTTACTTGTCATTGTAGTTAGTTGAAAATGGTCTTGTTTGCTCAGCTCCCTGTAGTTTTAACAAAGATCCATGCCATATTGTTGGGTCTATGCTTCTCATTAGTCGACATTAAACGTCTTTTAAAAGTAAACGTGTAACGTGTTGCATTATTATTACTGAAGAAACAAAGAGGTTTCATGAATACTTTTAATCCAAATGAGTTTGGCTCGAACAGCTGGACAGTGCTGTGGATGTCAGTCCGTGATCTCTGGAGTTATTTGGAGATCGATCAGCTTATTTCCTCGTCGCACCATCAAAGTGATTCTGTCGTTTCTGTGAACGGCTGAATATATATCCTCCGCCGTGTTCACTTTGGCGCCGTTGATCTCCAGCACAATATCTCCCGGCAACATTCCATCTCTAAAACGACAGTGAAATACCAGCTTAAACCTCAGTGCAACATGTCCTCATGTTTCATGAGCGCTACCTGTCGGCTGGGGACCCCACAATGATCCGGTGGATGAGGATGCCGTGTGTGACATCCGGGAACATGGCGTCTCGTAGCTTCAGCTCACTGATGATGCTGCGGCACAGAACACTCATGTAATCCCAGACTGTCACACAGTGCTTTTTTGACCTTTAAAATTTACTTCACATGCCATTTTTCATTTACTCCAAATACGGTGGTAACCTACTACTGTAGCCACAGCTGCCCTGGGACACACTGAACAAAGTGAAAACCAGTATAAAGGTGCACTTTATTGTATCCCAGTAGGGCAATTCATCCTCTGCATTTGACCCATCCTGATGCCGCTAGGGATTATGTTAGGACCAGTGGTCACCGTAGTAACAGCGCCCAGGAGAACCCATCTCCAGATGTTGATGCGCAGCTTGGTCAGGACTACCGGAGCTGGAGGATTTTACCTAGTGTACTGTATGTGCCCCTCCTACCACCACCAACCATTTACACTCACACCAGACTCATTCTAGGCAATGTGAGGGAAGTATCTTGCCTAAGGACACACCAACACTTTACAGCTACCCCACTGTGGCACCTGATATTCCCAGAGGTCTCCCATCAGTGTTTTAACGTGCATTTGTTCCATTACCGAGGAGTGAGAGTCAGCATCGTCACGCCGATGTACTTTCGCTTGTTCTCTGAGCCGTTCCGTCGGGAGTCTAAAAAGATACAACGGATAAAACCATCGATGGAAGAAGTTTTGCAAATATCTTTTTATAATAAAGAATATATATTTAACTCACTCTTTCTGTTTGCCTGATCTAGAAAAACTTGTACTCTGTCAGATGGAATGGCAAAAGATATCCCTGCAGTTACTTTCATGGTGTTGATCCCAATGACCTCTCCGTCCTGAGAAGGAGACAACATCAAGTTACTCATGTGAAGGAAATGCAGCACATTAAAATATGACATGAAAATATGTATTTCTTACCAGGTTAATGAGAGGGCCTCCAGAATTACCAAACTGCAAAGACACATGTTAACCCAAAAATGGCAAGAATAAAAGTCCTTCAGAACAAATTTGCTTACATCAATAAGTGCGTCGGTCTGAATGTAATCGATGTCGGAGTGGGACAAGCCCAGCTCTTTGCTTCCTCTCTGAACTGAGCTCACAATCCCAGACGTGATGGTGTTGCGTAAGGCAAAAGGACTTCCCATGGCCACCACAAACTCGCCTTGTCTCACATCGGATGAGTGCCCCAGAGGCAGAGTGGGCAACGGATTCTGTCAGAAAAATAACAATCTTAAAGACACAATGAAGTGACACATAGAAGCATTTGTGTTCAGGTCTTTTCATATTTACAACAAATTACATGAAGTGATGTAGAATTGATCGATTGTAATAATTTCTTAGGACCTTTTCTAGACACTCAAGGTCACCCTACTAAACAAATTTTACAAGTACTTACATATTGTCATAGCTTCACTATGTGTTGGTATATTTACGATTTAAATATTACAAATGTTTTGTATTTACAATTTGTCAGCTTGAAATGGAGTAAGTAAAACCTTGTATACTCCTAATGAATATAGTTATTTAGCATTGAATAATTATAATTCAATAATAACATTGAATAAGAATGAATAGGTGATGAAATAATCAGTGCTCCTATTTCACCTTTGGAGATATTCTAATGGTGGCGATGTCGGCGACAGGATCAACGTCCTGGACTGTGGCGGTGTACGTGTCGCCGTTTGTGAGTTTGACCCGGACTCCTCGTTTGTTTGCTACAACATGAGCATTAGTGACAATCAGACCATCTCTGCTGATGATGAACCCGGAGCCATTGGAAACGGGAACCTCTCGTCCTGAATACGGGTGTCTGCAACAGAGGACCAGTTATAATTAAGTTATAATCTTTTCACAAAAAATATTGCATATTGTGTGCACCATGTGCTCTTGTATATTGTACATAGTGACTGTACTTGTAAGAATTCTGTAAAAATTCTATTTTAAATTTTATACTGTAGAAGTGTATGAAGTCTTTGACTGTTGCACTGAGCCAAAGCAATTTCCAAGTCTGACTTCCTGTTACTTACGTGGCAATAAAAATAATTCTGATTCTGAAAACTTTAAGCATCAATGTGTAACTTTCAGGAATTGTCAAAAAGAACTTTGCAAATTACGATACAAGAAAACAAAAAATGTTAAAACTTATGGACTACAACTGGGACATAATGACCAACAGACTGTAATTCCAAGTCATTAACAGGAGATTAAGTAAAGGTTTGATCCTGAGAAACTACAAGTTCAAACTAAGTGACTTTGCTCATACAAAATGCCTTTAATGCCCTTCCAAATCTAGTTTATCTTGCATTTGTCACTTACACTACTTCCAGTCAAATTCCTTTCCAACTTCCTTAACAGCCATGGCAATTATTTTCATCAAAAGTAAAATTAACATTAAATTTCTTATCGTGTTTATGTTCTGTGTATTACCTAAAAATGCATATCCCATATTCTGCAAATGTGGCGTTAAAACGTGTCTCCAAGCCCATATTACTACAATAAAGACAAGCGAGGAAGCCCCTAATGAGAATGTTGAGGAAAGTGCAGAGGTCACCTGCCAAGAATTTCAATGTAGACCACTGCCGGGGAGGACTTTTCCACCACATCAGCAATAAAATTGTATCTAAATCGGGGAGTATCCGGCTTTACGGGTGAGGCACAGTGGACTACTGGTAGAAACTGTCCAAAGCTCAGTTCTCCTCTTCGTCTGTAGAGATCCAAGAGAACCACCGTACAGAGTCCCAGCCCCACGCGTCTGAGCAGTAGAGAAGAGCTGTGGCGGCCCTGATCATAGTCCCGACCCCCAGCCTGGTCCTGGTCCCTGGAGGTCGCGTATGAGCGGAGCTTTGGGCCACATACACCGGACACAGACACGCGCCTCACGGACTGGAGTGTGAGGCAGTGGACGCTCCTGAGCCCGGAGAGGACACTTCTGCTGACGACACTTGTGGCCATGTTTGCGTCAGTAGAGCGTCTGACAGCTGACGGTCACAAACTTCACTAACTAATAAATAACATGGCACTTAAAAACTATAAGACAAACGCCGACGCAATTCCTGAGTGAGGACGATAGAATACGCGGACGAGGCTCATGCTAGCAGCTACGGCTAAAAACAACGCGAGAAGAAGAACGTCTCACGCCACCTACTGTATCGAGTGTGTATGACAGGTCAAAAGACATTGCGGTTACATTAGAATCAAAATTACATAAAGGTAAAAAAAAAAAAAATCATTTACTGACAAAATTTTTAGCATTATAATTGTATTTCCTAGTTTTAATTGATGACATACCTAGCAACCATCAATAAAGTGTCAAAAATGTTAGAAAATTATGCAAATTCAACAAAATAATTCAGAATCATAGTTGCAATAAAATCATACAAACATGCCATTCACAAGTGTCCACTGATATTTATATCCTTTATCTCGTCTCTTTAGCATAAAGACAAAAACAGGAAGTTGCGTTTAGGCGGGGCGTCACGTGGTCTTTCATGTTGCAAAATTCAAATTTGCGGAAACAGCTTCGGTTTGGGGTTGCCAAGTCCGCTTGTTTATCTCCACTTTCGACCAGGGTTGGCTGTTCACTCCAATCTGCTCCACCCACACTTCAGCTGTTTCGGATGTTGTGAATATTGTTTTTCTATTAGACAAACAGTAGGCTGTTTGTCTAATAGAAAAACAATATTCAACAATATAATAGAAAACAGTAGGCTGCCGCCGTGGGCGGCACGGTGGCTGAGTGGATAGCACTCTCGCCTTTCAGCAAGAAGGTCCTGGGTTAGAATCCCGGTCGGACCAGGGCCTTTCTGAGTGGAGTTTGCATGTTCTCCCCGTGTCTGCGTAGGTTTCCTCCGGGCACTCCGGTTTCAACTACCACTAAAAATATGAACAATAGGTCTGGCATGCGCCTCCTGTACTGGCGACCCCGCTCCCATCTCTGTGTGGAGTGAGAGGACAATTGCCCAAGAATAACAATTGTAAACCGCTTTGTGACTCTGGTCTGTGAAAGGCGGTATATAAATAAATATTACTTACCTACTGCTGTATTAAAAAAGGTATTTATTTTCTGTTACAGTCTGTGGTCTACACCCTATAACACTGCCTTATGTTCTATCCCCATGTTTGTGCATAACATGCATTATTTTAAGAAAAAATAGTTAAATAGTTACTCAATTAGTGCTGAGAGTATAATTATTGCATCTGCATTATTCTATTTAACTCAATTAAATGTATGTGTGTCTGGTATAGCTCTAAATCACATCAATAGTTATTTTGGAGGACTATAAAGTTCTCGATTCCCCAACACAGATTAGAGAGTCAAACAGTTCAAACACAAAAGATGAAACAATAAAAAACCCTCCGTAAGGGACAGATGAGCAATGTCCATAGATCTTGATAGATGTCTATACGTGTCCTTGAATCTACAGTACTTCTTTTTTATAAATCAGGTTAAATGTTTAATTTTCACGAATCTTGTGGCAGTATACATGTGCTGTAAATAATATACAATTGTCGCGGTCTCTTGTTTAGCTCAACAACACGCTCAATGTTTACAGTCTATTCTTCGCTCTGGAAGATCTGGCAACCCTGCTTCGGTTAGTCCAGGATGGGAAAAACTTAAACATGGCCTCTTCCTATTACCAGCTTCACGACCGAGCTCACCGTGAGTCTCCTGCAAAAATATTCGCTAGACTCAAGTCCAACCTGCAGCGCACCGCCGCGGAGGACTCTGCAGATGAGGAAGGCCCAGCAGCGATGCCAGTGTCACGGGTCCTGTACACCCCGAAGAGAGGGACCCAGACCCGGGGAGAGGGCAACGACTTAAGCCTCGTCCAAAGCTTTGAGCGCGGCGAAGTAACTGCAGTGACGCTGTCCCCTATATCCAGTCCAACCAAACAGAACTGTACCATTGCAAACATGCCCAGACACAGGCATTTAATGGAGTCTACGAGGTGCAACCAACCAGCCTTCCAAACTCACCCGCATGGACATGGCATTCATACAACTACTACAATAACCTCAGATGGATTTGTTTTGCGTGAGGCCGGGGATCTGGAGAACGTGGATTCTCCCCTTTTCATCTGCTCAGACTCTGTGTTTTCTCCCATGAAGAAAAGACTGAGGAAGAGAAAATGTGCCATGAATACGTCTAACTACGGGATGTCTGCAATGGACTATGCTCTTTCTTCCAAAAAAGACAGAAAAATCAGTCCACCGTTCAGAGAAGACGAACTTATTTCTAAAAGTGCTGCACAGTACTCTCCACAGAGACGCAATGGTAAGTCAGAATTACATTATTTTATTCGCCATTTGCAGTAAAACCACATTGGGATACATGTGCAAAAGTCCCAGTGAAGTGTGCACCAGACATGTAAACAAATAAAACAAGCTAAAAAATATATGAAAACATTACAGGAAACAAGTCACTATAAGATTGATCAACAAAAACGGTTTCAATACAAGTGGATGAAACTGTTCAGATGTTCAGGAAAACTTTGTTTGAAAAAAAAAAAAAAAAAAAAGATAAACGCTTGGCTAATAAGGTTATGTAATTAATTTTAATTGTCATCTCACAGTACTTAACAAAGGTGTTATTTGTCAGCAACAGATCAAACACAGGAAATGCAACAATAACAAAGACATATGAGCCCTTGGTCTCCAGGGGGGTAGATGATCAATGTCCATAAATGTTGATTCTTGTCTCTGCATTTTTGGTTCTTTCAATAGGAGGTGCAGTTCATACGCTGCCTGTTAATTTTACTCCTGCCAAGATGTTTACTTACCTGAAACTACGGGAGAAGCTAAGGGAGCAGTGTGATGCTCCACAGCGCGTGATGTCCAGCTCCAGACCCGAGGCAGACTGGGGTTAGTCTGCCTTAGTTTTTTTTTTTTTTTTTTTTTTAAACAACACATAATCTGACTTTTATGTCTGTAGATTGCCAAAGTGATGTGAGAATAGGAAAAGAGCCTGCAGCCTCCAGCGTGGACAGGTTGAGTCCTGGTGATGGATCCAGTGATGAGGATTTCATTCTTGATGCTGAGTCTGAGGAGCCTCCACTGCCTGTCATTCTGGAAGATTCAGTCGTGCTAAATTCGCCACGAGTTTCAATTCCAAAAGAAACCGTGTGCAGGCGAACAAAATGGCCTCACTGCATCACCTTTCCCAGTGTGAGAGATCATGTTGTTCTATAAATTATTAAAAATGAAATATACTTGATCATGAGAAAATTGTCAAACGAACTAAGCCAAGTGGCCCGGATTGTCGCCACAGTGGTGTGAAAACGGTCCGCGGTCACATGAACATGTTTTCGCAAACGTGCCAGAGCAACTGTGCCGTAGTACAACGCTCGGTCCAGCTGGTGGAGCTAATACTAACTTCACAGACGACCTCGTTGTCCGAGTAAAGTTTCCGTTTCTTTTCCTGTTTACGCTCTGCTACTGTAGCTAACAACTCTGTACGGATCGCGTTGTTTAGGGAAAGACACATCTTGCCGCAGTCACATAGCACCTGAAGGCCGGATCTAATCCCGAAGTGGGCCCTTGCCCACTTAAACCGTGCTTTAGGCTGTGCATGTGACCGCAGCCTTAATATGATTATGAATTTTCTTTAAAGGAGAATGCAGTTCACCTTCGAAAGTGGTTTCTTCAGGGACGTCGTAAAGGCCTCTATGTAGAAGGCATCCACAGGTAACTGAAGTCTCCATCAATAGAAAGATTGTCTTTATTTAAATTATGAAATTCAAAATTACATTGAAATTTCTCCGTGAGTCGAGAAAGGCTTATCTTATGTAAAATTCGTTTTTATTTTTAATGGGGTTTTTTCTGTTTAGGGAGAAAAATATTGAATGGCACAGCAACATAATTGCAGAAAGAATATCCAAGTCTGCGCTGAGGACCGTCACTGGATCAGTCTACATTTTAGTTGGGAAGATGTCCTTGTTTACTGCCTCACGTAAGCTTCAGCGGACTGGTCACTGATCGCTGTATGAGTCTCTTTTATATCATTTGCCATTATATAATTACAGCATTTCCAAAATGGTTTTTGAAAAAATTTGTCAACGGCTTCCCTTCAAACTGGAAGGAACTTCATGAAGATTATTTGTCAGAATCTAAAGGGTGAGGGCCACTAGTCACTTAAAAGTATAATTGTCATTTTAAAAGTCCATCCATCCATCCATTATCTACCCCATAATCCATTTCTGCGTTGGGTCATTTTAAAAGTGTGTGAGTTCATCTGTGTTGTTGTAGAAAGTTCAATAAAAAGCCTGAAGCAAAAACTGAAAAACGCAGCCAAACATCAAAGACATCTGTGAGAGCGGAGCAGCTTCAGAGCTCTGTCTCCTCCTGTCCGTCCTCTGCCCCCTCCATCACCAACGTGTCCCGCAGCGGACGCGTCATCAAACCACCGCTGGACTACTGGAAAGGAGGACGGGTCATTATGGACGCACACATGAACGTCACTATTCACGACAGCTACAACTCCAGCATCGTTCAGCCGGTGAGAACCTGAAATGTGTTTCTTTATTTTCACTTTTTGGCATTGATCAGGTTAATATACGTTCAGAGGGATATAATGGGCAGGGTTCTTGCCTGTGTGTGTGTGTGTGTGTGTCATTAATATAGTGGGGGCCCATTGAGTGTGTTTGTACCTGGGGCCCAGACTTTGGTGCTACCCCCTGGCGCTTTAAGAAGGATTGTCTTCTTTGATGCTACTAATGACTTAATTTTGACTTTCAGAAGGACACACCCTCAGTCTCCACAAAGTCCTTCCTCCTAAAGCCGGATCAGCCGATAGCTCCAGTGATCAATGGTAACTATTTATCACTACTCAATTTATCAAATATATAAATGAATACAATTGTCCTGAAAAAACATGTCTGTTTTAGTCAGTGAGTCGCCGCTCCAGAGAAGAATCAAGGCTCGACCACGGAAACCTCGTCAAAGCCAAAATGACGCCATTACAAAATCTTCAAGTCCTGTATACACAACCGCAACATCCACCAGAGTCACCAGATCCAGTACAAGAAGCTCAGGCAGTGGAACCAGTGACAATTCACCGCCAAAAGAGTTGAAAAAACCCCAAAAGAATGCGACAAAAGCAAACAATGTTAAACTTGGGCAACGTTTGTCTCCGTCTGCAATCACCACATCGTCACAACCTGGAAAAGAGAAAAGTTCTGAGGGCAGGAGGCAGAGGGACCGTCCCAGACCCACCAGCGGATCCTCCCACTCGTCACGGGAGAGGAACACGGCCACACCCAAGAACCAACTAGTGAAGGAGGCTAAGGCTCGGCCCAAACGGAGATCCAAGACCCCTCCCCCGGTGGCGTCAGCTGTGGCAGCTACACAGAAAGCTGCACAGCCCAACAGGACGCACAAAAGAAAACCACGCTCCAAACCCATTCCAGCGCACGATGAGGACGAGTGGACCGAGGAGGAGCTCGGGAAGCTGCACGAGTAAGTCTAGCATACACTACTGCTGTTGCTGCTGCTGCTGCCTTTTCTGTAACTATACTACTACTGCTGCTACCAGTGCCACTACTGCTACTATCACAGTGACTACTTTTGCTGCTACGACCATTACGACTGTCACAACTACCACTACTGCTACTGTTCTTACTTAAGTAAGTACTATTGTTATCACCTTGACTACTGCTGCTACTATTACTACTACCGCCACTAATGTTTCCATAACAGTGTCCGCTGCTACTGTAACTCTGACTATTACTACTACCAAGTGATAGTAATACTGCTGCTACTATTTCTACTTCTTCTTAGGGGTGGGAATTAGAAAAAATGTGATGATTCTATAGTATTGAGATATTTAGGCCACAATTCAATATTATTGTGATTCCTCACATTACGATACAGAACGTATTGCGATTCAATTCTGCATCAACTGCTACTACTATTCCTACCACTGCTTCTATTCTCTGCCTGAGCTGAGCATGCGTGTGTTTTAGAGCCGTGTCGTGCTTCCCGACGCACATACCTGGGTACTGGGCAAAGGTGGCGATGACTGTCGGAACTCGTTCTGCAGAGGAATGTCACAAACGCCACGTAGCCTTTGGAGCCGCCAAGACGCCGGTGAAATGTCAGCGGAAAGCAAAAGTGGAACCTTTAAAAGAGAAAGGTACTTGTGCTCCATAGTATGTTTTAATGTAGGAGTTTGATGTTATCATTTTAGGGATTCACTTCGAGGACTAAAATACTAATCATGAATCATGTCTTTGTGTGTTCAGCTAAACCAGTGATCTCTGCTGGTGTGGGAACGTTACGACGGAAACAGCAAGTGCGCGACTTCCTGGAAACGATGGCCAAAGACGAAATGGACGATGTTTTCAGTTCTGCGTACATGCAGAGCAAAAGATTTGAGGTTGGTTTGTTAAAGTGTGATCATAAAAAGGACCTGAGGCTGTATGTTTTGAGTTTCTGTCAGGAGTGCTTTGGTCAGATTAATTTATTGATAACTTGAAATATTTACTATAATTTCAGAAAAAAGAGCTTTTATTTTTTCTTAGTTCCTTTTTTAACTCCGAAGCTTAAAGAGCGACTAAACACCAAATCAACTTTTTTAAACTCATAAACTGCATAAGTATGTTTATTGTAGTGCTGTCTACATATCCTGGTCATTTTTTTGACATTTTAGTTCAAATTAGATAAAATATCACTTTTGAGCCAAAAAACGTTGTGTGGTGCCCTCTCAACCTTTTTGGTGGTACTACATTTGAATTTGGTCCTGGCCTCTCCATTGACTCTGAAGTTCTCTATGACATCAGTTGTTTTGTGTGACGTCAGTCTGTCAGAGCCAGTGATATAAACCCATTCAACTCTCACACACGCCCCAGCTGCAGTTTGGAGTATTCTGGCGCCATCTAGTGGATTAAAATTAAATTACATGAGCCATTCTGAGATTATTGAGTGTGATTAGGTTCAGGTGTGTAGCTTTACAATTATCTTAGAGTGTAAACAAGGGTGGAATGAGACTTTCTGGTCTGTAAACTATTGCTTTAAGCAGCAATGACAACTGTCTGTTTTTTTTTTGTGTGACAAGTGAGCTGTCAATCACAGCCCAGACCACGCCCAACTCTAAGCCCCCCTTCTTGTCCCTTGGTCCTCCAGGCAACGCCCTTTTTAGAGAACATTTTAAAATCTTCATGTGGGCGGAGTAAGGCTGGGCACAGGTGTTTAGTCGCTCTTTAAATAGCGGAGTTATCAGAGCAGGGACTTATTATTGTAGTAGCTATAGGACACTAGTTATTGTCAAAATAGGCCTAATGAGTCATGGAAGCTAACGGTTAAACACCTCGTCATCAAATCATCTTGTGACTAGTTAAAACGGTTGTCTATCTCCTAAATATGTGGCTTATATTCAAGTGCTGCCTATATGTGGACAAAATAGATGTTCTTTTAAAATTGAGGTGATGCGGCTCACATTCAGGTGCACTTTGAAGTCCAAAAAGTACGACAAAGGTTGAATTTTCATGTTTTCTTCCTGCATAGGTGCCATCTATGTCCACCAGTGACCATCATGACTTCACCATTTCTAACCAGGCGCCCATTACCCCCGGGCACACTGGGTTCCCAGAGGCCAAGACCCCCCAGTGCCTACACATCACACCCGGCATGATCGGCTCCAGCAGCAAGTACGATCTTTGCTCTGCCTTCTCTCTGTTTTATAGTATTTTTATTTTATTTGTAAGTTTGATTCAAAATAAATAATGTACTTTTAAAATCTTGCTTGCGCTTTATATACAGGTGCGCTAAAAGTCTAGCAAGTACTGTTCCTACTTTGTTTTGAGCTCAAAGTGTGAGTAAACAAAAACATTGATCTAAAAATAACATTTATGATTCATTCTGTTTCTTTAGGAACTGTGACGACAAGTACGTCTTCCATCTGCAGAAAAGGATGAAAAATCGCTATCAATTTAATGTAGAAAAACATGCGAAAAAGGTAAGTGTGGTGGACGTCATGGAGATCAGTTTGTCCACACACCAGGTTATTGAAACGTTGATGTGTATTCTTTTAAAGACAAATTTCACTCCTGTGTCGGTGAAAAAAGCGATGAGAAGATGTGCCAACACAGGTGAGGGGGTCGTTCTCTTTCAAACTAATGAATGTGTTGAAATCAGTGCATGTGGAATTCTAATTTCATATGGCAAAAATATTTCCCAAAGAGTCGTCTATGTTAGGACACTGCCAGTTTGTTTTGTAAGATTTCTCCCAAAAAGGTTTTCCCTCAACAGTTTGCCTTGAATCCACTAGAGGGCGCTAGAGGGAAACGGAACTGTATAAATCTCTACGATGCATCAACCATGGATCTAAGCATCAACATACATGGCCAGAAATGGTTTAGCAATTACAATCGAGTCGTTCTCTTTTTGCGAGTGTTTTTCGCAGTTGTCCACCCTGCGATCTAGAATTTGATTTGTTTTGTAAAAAGTCGTACCCTGTACTAGTGTGAAATAAGGTCTTTCTGGACACTTGGAATACTTATATTATTATTTTTTTATTATTAATTCCAACAGGATACAAACAAAACGGGTGCCTAAGAATACAAATCACATTTAACATTTACGAAACACAGAGACAGAAAATAAGACAAAACCAGGGCATACATTTAGATATTGGCTGTTATCTGTTTACAATACAGATTTTTCTAACATTGATCCTGGCAAACAATGTATTTGATTATTCAAAAGGTGAGTGTGATTGTATTTCTCTTTGGTTTAGAAAATAACACGTTTGTGGTGTGGGAGATGTTTCCGGACAAAGAAGCCCAGGCCGACAGCGAGGAAGAGCAAGATGTTTACTTTTCAGAAAATGATTGAAACCATGGAGACGGTCCAATTTCTATGGCCAATGTAAAATTGCATTTTTATTTTGTTAAAAATGAATTCATTGTATTGTACAAATATAATAAACACATTTCAGTGAATAAACAATGTTAATAAAACTGTGCATTTTGACCACTCACTTGTTTTGCATTTTACTAAGAATTACAGGTGTTGTTTTTATGATAGTGCACCAAATGATCCATACAAACGGAGTATAACCTTATTAAGTCAAATGTTCTTAAATCATGAAGTACATTATGAGATAAATGTAATAATTACAATGACGATGACCTCAGTAATATTTCAAAAGGACATTTACCAAACAGGAAAAAAGATTATATTCAACCATACACTATACATATGCACCTTATCTCTGAACTGTTACTAGTCTTAACAAAACACTAATCTTTCACTTATCATAGTTTACGTTGTTTGGTTTAGCAGTGACAATTTTATATATAAATATATATTTATGTAATTGGCGCACACTTGGGGAATTTTGCACATGTATTCCTATGTGCTATTACTAAAAAATGGATAATAAACTATATGAATTTATCTATTTATGAAATGACAATACTGAACTAACTTGTGAGTGGATAGACTGCTTCAAGCTGTGTGTTAACAGTCTATGGGTGAACTCTTAATTTGCCTGGTTTGGATTTCTCTGTTTAATAAAATGCAATTTACTATTTAGCAATCCCTCACTATATCGACCTGAAAAAAAAATCATAAAGATACTGACAGAGGAAAAAAAACTACACGTAGTTACAGAATATGATAGAGTAATTACCATGTCATTACACTTAAAAAACTAATATCTGCCAAATTTGAGCTATTTTATTTTTTTACGTCACGTCTTTCATTTTACCTTTTGTACAGATTTTCAATATCTGTTGTTGGGATTTCTGGACCTGTTGACCTAGATAAATATTAAAATAAGAATGCTTAATGCCGATTGGCTGAGGGGAAGTCCACATGTGTCACGTGTCCGGGTGTCACGTGACGGACAGGCAGCAGGAGCCCAAGGACCACAACATCAGAAGGTGAAATCATGATCAAACTGTAAGTCTCAGCGGCTCTTCTACTTTTGTATGTGTTTATGAAGTTTATTATCTCATTTGAGCCAGAGATAACGCTGCACTGGCTCTGAATACTAGATAGTGCTTGTTTTTTGGTATTGTTTGTATCAAAGATTGTTGTTGTTATTGAAGTAGTTACCTTGTGTTTGTTGTGTTTGCAGGACCAGCCCGTTCCTCTGCTGTCTCTGGCTCGGCTTGGTCTGCGGAGGCTTCCTAGAACATGACCAGAATGTTTTGTGAGTATTATAATCTAAACATGACATTTGTGTCCGTTTGCAGAATGTATCAAACAAAATATCGTCAAACCGAAACCTCTTGACCGATTCCAACTTCGCTCGATTTTAATAACAACTACAATTACATTTATTTTCGAATAGCGGGGAATCACAACAGGCTTGATTCACCAACAACAATCAGAAAATCAAACAGTTCGATCACAGTTTGACTTGTAGAAGCCATTGGTCCATAAGGAGTGGGATGATCAATGTTCATAAATGTTCTTAAATAACCGGGATCATCACTGTCATTCTCCCAGTGAGAAAAAAGTGAGAAATCTTCTTTTTATCGTTGACATGTGCATTAGAATTAATTTGGGGAAAAAAGCACAAAAAAAGTAATCTTTACAAGTCTTCATTTTTTTTTCAATGTTTGCTCTCAATCACACAAATTTTTTTAATTTGTAGTTTTAAATGGAGAATCTACATCATTTTTCACTCTTTTATTTTTATTCTTTTCACGAAACCCACCTTTCTTTTGAACTCAGCAATATTACATCCTTCCTTATCCTTCTCATTTGTCTTGACTTTTGTCGCATAATATTGTTAATGCCTACGAGACGACTGCTGTTGCGATTCTATCTTAACGTGCAAAGAATGAATTGATTTGCCGTTTTGATTAAGGGCTCTCAGTTCCAGTTAAAAGCATATCAATGTAATAAACGTAAATACAAAAAACCCATCCAATGCATTAAAATAACCGTAACATCAAGTGGCAATGATGTCTACTGTACATACTGTTGTCCTGACCAGCCCAGATATACTATATTTACATAAAAACAGGTCGGTGTATAAGGACAATGTGTGAGATGAAAAGTATACTAAAGAAATGTGTGTGTGTTTTTGTGTGTGTTTGTGTGTGTTAGGGTGCCACATGACTGGAGGGACGCGGGCTGGGTTCGGCCTGAGGAGGAGCTCTTGCTGACGTTTGCCCTAAAGCAGCAGAATGTGCCTCTCCTGGAGACCATGCTCATGAAGCTTTCAGACCCAGACTCTGCTCTCTACGGTACACACCTCTGTTTCTTAAAGATGCAGTGCTTTTGTTGCTGTCTATGTTGCATGTCCCAACAGAAAGACTTTCACATACTGAGAGCTGATGCGTGCCTGGTACTCACTTATTCACTGAAAAAGCAGATGTAAAAAAGTGACAGAAACCTACATATATGCCTGTGAAAACTTGTGACAGAACAAAACTGTTTATTATGTAGTTTTACTTGTGGTTCCAAAGTTAGATACTCCAGCTCTAAGTCCATTTCTGCAGAGTATGTCGAACTTTGTGACCTGTTTCCTGTTGCATCCTCGATTTATGCTTCGCTAAGTCACCAGAACAAAAGTGATCTTGTGATGCAGAAATTCTCATTCTGTAATCAGTTTTTCACTTCCGCAATTTTGAATAACAAGCTTAGATACGGTATGTGGAAAAATATGAGCGTAGTCTGCAAGTATAGGCCTGTAAATCACGTATTCATATGTTTATGTGTGTGATGTAGCAGAGGACACTTATGGTACTGTATTGCTACTCTATATTGCCGAGGAATGACATGTACAGTTCTCGTTGTACCGTCTGACAGCAGCAGGAAGGAAATGCCTCTGATAGTAAAGCTGCCCATTCTTCTTGGCAAAAAGCTTCCAGTTCTTGTAAATTCCTGGGCCGTCTTGCATGAACTACACATATGAGATCTCCCCAGAGTCGCTTAATGATGTTAATGTTGAAAAAATATAAAACGGCAACCACTAACTATACGTGACCATGTTGTTATTCATAATCTCAAAAATGTGGCCAAAACGATGACATTACTGCATTGAGGAGTTTAATGCACCATTGTAGATATATTTTATATACTTAGAATAGATATTTCACCACTATTTAAAAAAACGCGAATGGCTTTGTCGTCCACAGGCAAACACTTGAGCTTGGAGGAGGTGAGCAGCCTGGTGCGTCCGTCCACAGAGACTCAGAAAGTGGTTCTGAGCTGGCTCCAGACCCACGGCATCAGAGGCTGTCACTCTGTCCACACGCAGGACTTTCTCCAGTGCTCCATGAGTGCAGAGTAAGCAGCTTCCATCTCCTGAAACCACCGAGCAGATCGAGTTTTGAACACATTTTTGTCAGTATTTGAACATGAAAATGTAAAAATTGTGAAGTGCAGTTTCGTCCATTCTATTCGGCTACTCTTGACTTAAAGCAATTTTGTTAGCACCAACTTGAAACCACTCCCCCTCCCCTCGCCTCTCCACCAAACCAAACATCCAGTATTTTCTTTTCTTTGTCACAACAGGGAGAGTGGTGGCAAACCCGAAACTGGCCTTTTCTGTTCAGCCCTTTTAGGTTTTAGAAAATAATAAGATAACTCAGGTGCGCGCACTCGCGAGAAACAGGAAGAGGGTGAAGGGGGTAAACACATCCCATTGGTTTGTTGGGGATGAACGAATCCCATTTTTTTTATCGGTCCGCTCCAAAATATGTTGTATTAAATTTGGAGACTGTAGGCATCTGGTCAATTCCATTACTATTTGAAAACACATGATAACTTAACTACTTTTAGGGTTTAGGGACGTTTTTCCACAATATTCAAAAAAATGCGTCTGGAAAAAATCACTGACTGCATCTTTAACTCTAGACTTTGCTACCACATAAATAAGATGGATTTATACTTACGATTTGACTAAAACTTACCTTAGTTTTGAAAAATACGTGATGTCAGATTTTTGTTTGGGAGCGCTGGAGCGGCCGCAACGTAAAAAGGGTCAAAGCTTGTTTAATGTACAGTACATACAAGTTCAAGAATGATAAATAGACTTGAACAAAAAGATAAATAGACTCTGAATTCATGTTTTAAAAAAATATTAGGAATTATTTGGAAGCCAATAAAAATTTGTATGACACTATTTACTTTATCATTTTATGTTTTGGAATGGTAAATAACGTTAACATTTCAACATTCTGAAAAAGCAAATAAGGAAGTGCATTTCCTGGAGAAGATGGAAGAAGAACCATTGATTGTCCCACAGTGGGGGAAATGTCTGTTGCAGCGCACATACAGGACAAGAGTCAAAGCAGAAGTCGAGTTTTCACGCTGACGTATTGAATTGTATTATTTTCCTCAGACAGGCACAGAGGCTGCTTCCAGGGACCAGGTTCCACAGATACGTCAGGAAAAACCATTCTGTCGTGAGATCCTCTGCTCCGTATTCTGTTCCTGATGAGGTTCACCCACACCTGGACTTTGGTAATCACACTTTTGATTGTGAACGTCCGCCACTGTTCGACTTACACCAATCACTGTAATTGCAAGACTATAAACCGCAACTTTTTCAAAAAAAATTAACCCTGTGCCCGTTAAAGTAAGCAGTATGTGTTTTTAAAATGGTAAAGGCAGGTTGTTGTCAAAGCTTTATGGACTTATTACTTTGACTCTATCAAGTTTGAATGTGTAATTTTCCTCTCTCCTAACTTTTAGAGACAGATACAGTATGTGATAAAGAGAGGACCACCCTCACTCAGCCAATCAGCTCCTAGCTAAACAATTCACCCCATGCTGTGGTCTAAATTGTTCACTACGTTTTTCAAGTTATGTTATGTTATTTTTGAAAAAGTCAGTTATCCCAGCTTTAAATGACATTCATTCATTTTCAAGCCCTTTATTGTCCATTTCTGGGTCAGGGGGGTGGCAATGAGAGCTGCCACCCAATGCTCATAGCACCAGTCCCTCTGATCCTCTGCAGGTGGTGAGTCCACAGGAAGATGGCTGCTCTGTCAGCGGTGAAACAGCCTTGGTCTTTCAGCGGGGGCTTCAGGCAACGTGGGGTTAAGTGTCTTGCCCAAGGACACAACGACAGTAGACATCAGTGGGAGCAGTTGGAGTAGGTCCCATGGTGGGAATCGAACTCACGACCTCCAGGCTCAAAGGCCACTGCTCTACCAACTGAGCTACTGTCGCCCCAAATGACACAATATGGAATGGAATGGAATATGCTTTACTATGAATTCAAGGCATACAAAAATTGTAAATAAAAGATGTTTTGGTTTTTACATGCACTATGTTCATGCTTTGCGTAGTCAGCCTAAAGGGTCACATATTGACTTTCTGCTAGAACACACACCATGTTTTACTTTAGAAAAGCTGAAAACGAGCAATAACTTCCCTTTTCTTGTGAGAATAAAAACCTCTCTGACACATATTACGTGACAAATTATTTATATATTTTCACATATAGTTGGAGGAGTGCATCGATTTCCCCCAAAGGAGCAGGACCTCCCTCTCAGCCCTCCCCAGCCCAAGCCCTCTGAGGTCGGGGTGCACCTGGGAGTCACCCCCTCCATCCTCCGCCAGCGCTACAACCTGTCCTCCTCCGATGTGGGCGGGGCCTCCAACAACAGCCAGGCGGTGGCACAGGTGAAACCCGGGGCCGATCTGTGTGCGGTAGTGTGTACTGTGTATGGATAGTGCTAACCTGCTAGCTTAATCAAGCTTAATCAAGCCCAATGGGGAAGCGCTCATGGGTTAATTTTGCTCCAATTGGCACTGGCTCCTATCAACTTACTAAACCAGAGGAGTTCACTTCTAAATGTAACAGTTTGTGTCACACTCACCATTTGAGCTTAAAAAGTGGTTTGGCACTCTTTATGATCCTGGTGTTTATGGTGTTTATGGTGTTTATGGTGTTTATGGTGTGTATTTTGATATTGTCTTTGTAAATCCAGACACAGATAGGTTTGCATTGTCCATCTGTATACACTTTATGGTTGAAATTGGTTTGTCCAACCCCTTTTTAAATCAAATTGTATTGCTGTGTTGGCTCTTGTTTATTGATTTTGTTAGATATATATATATGCTTGAAATAATTGATTACGTGATTCATTACACTACATTACATTTTGCTTAAAGGCTACATTTTACTGACAAGGAAGGAAGAGGAAAGCCACTGTAATTTGTCTGAATTTGGATGCAGCCACATATTTATGCACGCACAGCCAATACTGTTATGGAATTTTGCATATTTGTTTCTTTCCAGGAAGGAATCTGCATGACTCATTTGTTGTTTTTAAATAAGATTCATTTTAAGACTAATTGTTGTGTTCTTATGACATCATAAGATCCTATAGTTTAACTCTGTTGCTGTAACTCTTTGCTGGTGGTATCTATCGAGAGCCAGATTTAAATTTTAGTTTAGAGCTCATTTCGCTGCCATTTCCAGACAAATCCACATTATTGTCTCAAAGTTCAACATCTTGTTTGGCATTACATATTAACTATGGTTTAATTATTCTCTCATAAAAGTTCTAGAAGTGGTGACAATATCCAAAAACATCGAATCACTATCAAATAATAATCTGGGAAACATTTGGACACTTTCTATTTCTTTCGGAGCACCTCATCTCTACCTGAAACACAATTCTACACAAACGCAACCTACTCAAGCATTTTGTCATTTACTTTTTCTGATGGAACCATAACACAGAGCGTCCACAAATACTTTCTTTCCTCAGTTCCTGGAGCAGTACTACCACCCTTCTGACCTGTCGGAGTTCATGAGCATATTTGGTGGAAGTTTCCCGCACCAGTCGTCTGTGGAGCGTGTGGTGGGGACGCAGGGCGGAGGGAAGGCCGGGCTGGAGGCCAGTCTGGACGTGGAATACATCATGAGCACAGGGGCCAACATCTCCACGTGGGTCTTCACCAACGCAGGTCTGCAGCAACACAATGGGCTTTCACTTTGATGGACAGTTGTGATTTTGTATTTCTCTGAAAATTAGAATATTGTCCAAAAGTTAATTTATATCTGTAAATAATTTAGTTTATTTGTTGTCACATACACATTACATGCAGTGAAATTCAGTATTCAGAACACACAATAACAGCACAACAAGAATTACACAGAAGCAGAACCAGAACAGACAGTTAGGCCCGGTTTAACAATCTCAACAAAATATTCACATTTTCTGAGATGTTTTATTTTTTACAGTGTTATCTTTTGTTTTCTTTTTTCTTCATTAAGGGACTTTTTAAAGATTTTCTCATTTGGTCCCAACAGAAAGTAAAATTTAAATGTTTGTGCACAATTCAGACTAGAACATGCTGACTTTATCTTGTAGCTAAAGATAAACATGTAATCTTTAACTAAATTCTAAAACAGCCTCGTGAGTCACTATTTCACACTTTAGGCTGCGTGCTGGTCCTCTCTCACTTTTCCGTCTGTAAAAGCTGAAAGCAGAGGTGTGACAGAAGGTACAAAAGCACAGAACTGTTTTGAGAGTGAGGAGCTAGTTATGCCCTGTTTCCACCAGTCCTTCTTGTCCTGTTTAACCGGTACCAGGTCCATCTTTAGTCCCTCTTGGCCCTGGTTCTATCCAGGCCGAGCTGGTACTAAAGTGGTCCAACTGACAGTGATTGGGTGCTGCTGGAAGCCATGGTTAGTAAGTAAGTTAGTAAGTTTTTATTTATATACCGCCTTTTCACTGCAGATCTGAGTCTCAAAGCGGTTTACAATTGTTAATTTTGGGCACTTGTCTCTCACTCCACACAGAGATGGGAGGGGCCAGTACAGGAGGCACATGCTAGAACTATTGAACATATTTTTAGTGGTAGGGGAAACCGGAGTACCCGGAGGAAACCTACGCAGACACGGGGAGAACATGCAAACTCCACTCAGAAAGGCCCTGGTCTGACCGGGATTTGAACCCAGGACCTTCTTGCTGAGAGGCGAGAGTGCTATCCACTCAGCCACCGTGCCGCCCCGTGCCGGTTACCAAGGAATATCCAAGAAGACTCTAGTTTGTTGTGGGTAGGTTTCTAGGGTTCAGTACCAGATAATGAAGCATGATGGAAACGCAGCAGAGCAGAGCAGAGGAACCTCACGCTTAATTTTGGAAGCTACAATTTGGAAGTCCTGAACTGTTCCTGAAAACTGTTCACTTCCTGAAAATGTGAGACACGCTTCTGCTTTGACAATGTTCAAAAACAGATCTGCTAACCTGTGCATAAAGTGTAGGACTGTAAACATGGATATAAGGCATGCATAATGAGATTGTTTGATTTTTATTTTATTTTTTACATAATGTGTGATTGCTTTTATCTTGTTTTGTTAAGCACTTTGAGTTTCCTGTGTATAGCGTATTTCACTATGCTATACAAATAAACTTGCCATGCTATACTCCAGCTTGACTGTATCCTGGTTGTGGTGTTGTGGTGCAGGGCGTCACGAGTCTCAGGAGCCGTTCCTGCAGTGGATGCTTCTGCTCAGTAACATGTCGGCGCTGCCCTGGGTCCACACGGTCAGTTACGGAGACGACGAGGACAGTCTTTCCTCCGCCTACATGAGCCGCATCAACACTGAGTTCATGAAGGCAGGAGTCCGCGGCATCTCTCTGCTCTTCGCTTCTGGTCAGTCTGCTTCATCATGGGTTTCTGCGTGGAGTTTGTATGTTGTGTGTCTGCGTTGGTTTCCTCCAGGTGATTAAAAAGATTTATAATGGGTCTGAATTTACCGAGTGAGTGGAAATGACTGGTTCTCAAAACTTAGTGTGACTTTTTGCTCAATTTATTCAGTAGCTCAGTTGGTAGAACACTGTTCTTTGGTCGTGGGTTTGAGCCCACCATGACCATAGCCACATGTTCCCACTGATGTCTGCTGTCGTTGTGTCCCTTGGCAAGACACTTAACCCCACATTGTCCGAAGCCCCCGCTGAAAGACCAAGGCTATCTCATCGATGACGGAGAAGCCATCTTTCCGTGGACCCACCACCTGGAGGAGGATCAGCAAGGGACTAAGGCTATGAGAGACTTGGGTGGCAGCTTTGATTGCCACCCCCCGACCCAGAAATTGATTAATAAAGGGGTAGAAAATGACATTATGACATTCTTTTTTAGCCCTAAATCACAACAGTAGTCATCTCAAAGGACTTAAGAAAAAACCGTTGAAATCGCCAACACAAGAATCAACAGTTAAGTATATAGTTAAAAATATGGAAAATATCCATATGGAGAGACCGATGGCCATGAATTTTGTAGAATGTAGAGTGTCCTGGATCATCGCAGTCCTTCTTGTTTGACTCACTAACAGTCTAACAGACCCTCCTGCATCGGCAAGGAAAAACTCAAAAAAAACCATTGGGAGAAAAGTAAGAAACCTTGCAGAGATTCACATTGAGAGAGGGATCTGATCCACATGGACGGACGGGTTGTAGATCCAAGACCTAAACTACAGAACGAGGACCAAGGCCACATAACGGTTTTGTCTGTGAAATGCACAATATAAATAAAGATATATATTCTTATTTTATATTACCCTGTAGTTTTGTCACATCAAGAAGTTTCCATCATACAAATACCATGATTCTTGGTCTATTGAACGCAGCTGTATTTATGCTGATGAGGAATCAACAACTTTGTAAAGTCCCCCAAGACTTTGGCTCAAATGTGTATTTTACATTCATTGCCTTTCTACTCTGGAAATTGCACTAGAGATTAGTTTGTATTAGATTTGGTCTCAGTTGAAAATATTATATTCTGTGTATATTTGCATATCATGGTTAGAGAATTATAAGTTGTTTTTATCCTGTTTAGGCGACAGTGGGGCCGGCTGTCGTCACATGGGGAAAGAAAACTCATTCAGACCCAGTTTTCCTGCATCAAGGTAAGTTTTGTAACATATCTCCAATTATTCTAATCATCGCCAACACATTATTTTTCCCTGTCAGCCCCTACGTAACCACAGTCGGAGGAACATCTTTTAAAAATCCTTTCAAAATGTCCTACGAGGTCACAGACTACATCAGCGGTGGAGGCTTTAGTAATGTTTTCAAGATGCCAGACTACCAGGTGACTGCTCAGGGGTCTGTGGACAGTTTCTTTGCTTTGAGTGTGTTTTAACCAGATGGTGTGGTGCTTAGGTCAGTGCGGTGGACTCCTACCTGAAAGCAGCAGGCTCCGTACTCCCCCCTCAGTCGTACTACAGCCCCACTGGCAGAGCGTATCCGGACATATCGGCTCTGTCTGATAACTACTGGGTGGTCACCAACAAGATTCCGATCCCCTGGGTTTCTGGGACCTCGGTAAGTTCAACTCTATTTCAATTTCTTGTACAGCCCTAAATCCCAACAGTAGTTATCCCATAGGATTTTATTAAATTGTTGAATTCGCCAACACAGATCAGAGAATTAAACAGTTCAAACACAAGAAATGTAATTACAGAAATGATAGTGTGTGTGTGTGACTGTGAACTTTAACATTGGTGGGGGGAATGTCTCAATGTTAGATCCCTGTTGCAAATGTGTAATTTAGGGCTATCAATTTTATTCATTGCGTATAATGTGTCAGCTAACCAGGGACAGGAGTTGAAAATTAGCCACACACTCTGTATGTGTCGCTTCAGTTGCATCTTTCCTGCTGTAATTATGTATGACTACATTGTTTCCGCCAAATAAATAACAAAAATAAAGAATTGTTGTTGGTTCATAAGTGGCAGATGACCCCATGTCCATAAATGTTGTTGAATAAGTGAGTGCAGCAGAGGCTGAAATGGTCTTTCTGGTCTTTCCCGCAGGCCTCTACTCCAGTCGTGGGAGGTATGCTGGCGCTCATTAATGATCAAAGACTTCAAAAAGATCTTCCCGTTTTGGGTTTCCTCAATCCTCGTCTCTATAAACTCCAAGGAATCGGCCTCTTTGATGTAAGTAGAATATATAAACATTTCTGTGTCAAATCATATTTTATTAAATATGGATCTATTGATTTTGATCTTGATGAATCAATTCAGGTGTTGTCAACCTTATTTATTCACAGGTAGCAACGTAATTTAGAATTATGTTATGGAGTAGTTGTTTGAGCTTTAGGATCTAAACAACTAATTAATCAGTGAATATGACTGTATTTGTTTTGGCAACATTTGACCAAATCAAAGCTCAAGTGATGCTCCTGAAGAACATCTTCAGAAAGACTTACTTAAAGTAACGCTTTAACAGTCTTGTTGTATTGTTCTGGTGATTACTCGGCTACAGTTGTGTAACATGATGAAATACCGTCTTCCTGCAGGTGACTGACGGCTGTCACTTGAGCTGCTTGGATGAGGAGGTCCAGGGGAAGGGCTTCTGTGCAGCCCCCTCCTGGGACCCTGTGACAGGGTGGGGGACACCCAACTACCCTGAACTACTGACAGCGCTCTTACAGTGACCCCTCACTTCTACAACGTGAGGAAGCCAGAATGACCTTCTGTTGAGACCGTGGGACAATAGAAGGCTTTTATTATGCAACAACTGCCCTTTAAATGGACTGTTTAGATTTTAACATGAAACTGGGGAAGTTGATGAGTTATCTATGCTTGAATGTTTAATGGTTTTATGAAAATAAAATGCACTGATGGCAATAAAATGTACGTTGAAGATGTAGATATCTGTAGTTTGCATTTAAGTTAGTCTTTCTCATGGTACTATTTGCTTGTTACATTTGCTTGTACTCATTGAATATCCAAATCAAGTCACATTTTTTAATAAAAACAGCAATTGATCTTGTTTGTAAGGGGAAAATATTTTTATTACTATGGGGAAAAAATCACATGGCGATTATTAACATGATTTAGATACAGCATTGTACAAAACTCTGACCACCCTGTTCAGCAGAAACACAAGAAATCTGAAACCTCCTCAAAGAGGAACTACTCGGATACCTACATAAGCACAGTCAGTGTACAATATGCCCACTGGAAAAGTACAAAAGTGAAAATCTCATTGTTGACTGAGGATCAATGCAACTTGACTTACAAAATGTGGAACAGTATAAATAAGTATAGGTGCAGATCCTTGAAGTTTCAGCAGAAACCTTTTCTTTTTAAACTCAGGTAGTGCCAAACACAGACCTGAGGGTGAGGCTCACAGCCCGAACTGAATGTACATAAAAGTGTCTGAGGAAAAGATTATCTCTCAGTCAGTACAGCCTGAGGGGGGGGGGCTGCTCTGTGCCCCCTCAGCCTGAGCGTGCGGCGGTCACTGGTTGTTCTTGGCTTTGGCGTGTGTCAGGATGTGAGACTTCAGATTCGTCGACTGTGCAAACTTCTTGTTGCAGCCGTCAAAGGGGCACACGTACGGCCGGTCTCCAGTGTGAATGCGGACGTGAGTGCGCAAATTAAAGTCCAGCGAGAATCTCTTGCCACAGCCTTCGAACGTGCACTGCAAACAGGAGACGTGACGGGTGAGTTCAAACCGTTTGAAGCAGATCTGAGTGACGAGGACACACTTACCTGGAAAGGTTTCTCTCCTGTATGTACCAGCTGGTGCCTCTTCAGCTTGGAGCTCTCCACAAAGGCTTTTCCACACTCTGCACACACATGCACTCGGGGCCCGTGGGTGTGCAAGTGCTTCCTCATGGCAGAGTTGTCCCTGAACATTTTAGAACATCCCTGCCAAACACAATGGATTATTATCATTATTGTTTTAACATGTATGAATGACAGTGTTATCGTCGTATAATTATACACTTCTACTCACTTTGTGTGGACACGCTATTGTCCGGGGAGAGTCGTCTTCTTTTACTTTTCTGGGCTTCATTCTAAAGACAACATTGAATGAAAATTTTCATGTGAAGGGGTAAAATGTATCTGAAAAAGGTGCAACACTCACCGTGCAAACTCAGCGAGCTGTTTGGGGTCGGACAGGTCGATGCCTGGTATGCCTCCAGGGGGCAGCTTCTTCCCTGTCATGTATTCAGAATAATCCGGAGGAGAGTTTTCACCTGAGATCTGCTCCTCATGGTCGATGTCTTTTTTGTCTGCAACATGAAGCGGGATTAGGATTAGACTCGTGTTAACATGCCATGGTCCTCTTCCTACAGCTCCACCTGGCTCCCATCACTCACTGCATCCAATATAAAATCCTGCTCCTCACATTCAACGCCATCCACAACCTTGTTCCTCCTTGTACTTCCCCGCAATCTCCACACCTGCCCACTCCCACTCCTCGTCACTATGGGTCGCTCTGGAACACTCTTCCACCTCCGTAGCACCGACTCACACATTTCAAATCCACCTTTAATGTGTTTAGACAAGTATACTCACAAAAACCATCCTGTGTTCGTGATATTTTTTATTTAGTATTTTAACAGTCTTAAATGTACTTTTTACTTCTGATGCAAGTCGATCTTGAGTATCTAGAAATGTGCCTAAGAAATAAAATGTATTATTATTACTAAGGTTAGGTTCAAGAATTTTATGCAAATTAATCGGCACCCAAAATACACAACACAAAAAAGTCCAAGAGTTTAACATTTCAGAACACTTTTCTGTTTTCTAACAGGTTAAAACACAGCAAAATTCACTACAGGAGTTTGATCCGGGAATTACATTTCCTGGTTCAGTCGGACAGCTGATCAATGTAAACAAACAATTGATCAGCTGTACCTGCTACACACCACTATTGACTCCATCTGGTGTTAGAGATGAGGAAATCAACACGGCATGCCTCCACTTATGTAAACTTGTGTTTTTGTTCTGGTGCTGACAAAAAGCCAGTTCCATCTCTCTATACTGTAGTAATTTTAAGAATGTGAAATATGTGTAAAGAATAGAAAGTACATACTGACAATTCACTGAGTCGCTTCATCAACTATGTCACCGTCATCACTGTATTTATCAATCTGGAACACCTGCTGTTATAAATACTTTACTTACAACTTTTAAGGATAAAGACTAGACCTCTCTAATGTTACCAGCTGTTTATAGAAATCATCTTTATATTATTATTACCTTGTTCTGCAATGTGTATCACAACACTGGCATTACCTCACTTGGTTAAAAGTACAGTTTAGTTAAAGTACACTACTAGTATATTATAATGACCTTTTAATTGTTTTGTAAACATAGTAATATGACAATCTATGCAAAAGTAAACGCTTTTAGTTCACTCAAGACTTAAACGATGCCTTTGAAACAGCATTATACTGTTGCGGAAATGTTTCTAACTGGCATGGAATGACAAAACATACAACTTAATTTCAATGGTTATATGAAAAGTTAGAAGCATGGCTAACCACTTAACTAATAAACACCAATTGTTGATGTTCGGCTTGGTCAAGACGGTCATTACAGGAGCTGGAGGATTTTAACTATTGTACATGTTTTGAAACTTTATGTGGCACTACAGTATATCCAGCTTGACCACTCGATGAAAGACAAATTGTAAAATGTTCATATATTTATCAAATTACACTGAAAGTTCTTATCTACGTTCATGATGCAAACTAATGTAATCAAGTTTTATACAGTTTTAACACATTCCCAGAAAATCTACGGACCTGGTAAATGTCGAAAATGAAGATTAAGCAAGAAAATTTCCGTGTTGCACCACCGGTTAGAGAACAGTAGGAATGAGGAGCACATAGCTCAAGATGAATGAACAATAACAATAACTAGACTAAAATGAAATAAAAAGTCTAGCTCTTAAATAAAATAAACTCGCATGTCTTTAACATAATAAAGAATGAAATACGCAGCACTGCTATGGCTACCTTTAATTGTACGTAATATATCATGCACAGACTATAATTCTAACTTTAACATGCACAATTCATGTCTTTTTCCAGAATCTAAATGGTAATCCATGCCAAATGTGACATGTAAATTGCTTCATTGTGAGATCAATATTTAATCTTACGGGAAACAAATGCAGATTAATCCAAATATTGTATTGAGTAATATTTTCGTGTAAACCCATGAAATGCAAAATAATCTAACTTTGCGTGAATAGTGTCGTTTCCGTGCAGCCTGGGGTGAGAAGCACCGCACAGCACAGCACAGCCCGCCTGACTCTGGCCCCGCCCCCCCGCTCAGAACTGCGCCACAGAGGCCTCGCGGAGCTCCCCACACTCGGCGCCATCTTCGTCGGGACAAATAAACGCCATTTTTTCGGTCCGCCATACTTTCTGGACCGGGAAAATATGGCGGCGCCCATTGACACATAAAACATGGCTTCCCATAAAAACAAAAACATTTCAAGTCAGGTCGAAGTGGCCCAAAGTGAAGAAAATGCCAATAGTTTTAGCGGTGAAGCAGGCCTCGGCGAGGGCCTGGTCACAAGGTTCACATGCTAAGAACAAAGCGACATGCTAACTCAGCTAATACACAACTCAACTCACCAGATGCCCACATAGTTACGGAGAACTCCCCTTCCAAAGTCTTGATTTGGACTTGTTTTTGCTCCCATTTCCTTCCCATATCTCCAGAACTGAAGTAGCTCTTTTTGCCCGACTTCTTGCCCCCTCCTGCCCTTTTGCTACGGCCAGACGAGGAGCTTTTTCCGGGAATAGTGACCAGTGTGTGTTCGATATAGTCTTCGTCTGCAGGCACCGGGATGAGGATTTGCTCTTCATAGCCATCGTCCGTGTGCAGCTCTGAGTCGTCTTCTCCCACGACTTCTTCCCTGGTTTGCACTAAAATCACTTCTTGGTGCTGGTGCATGGAGTGCGGGTCGTCCAGGGGCTGTAACGCAATCATGGGCTGGTGCTCGTCCGTGTCTATGGTCTCCACTTCGATCTCATGGAGCTCCACTATCTCCGCGGGCATTTCCGACCCGTCCGTCTCTATGTACAGCGTGTCCCCGGAGGCCATCATGAGTCCGGTACTTTTGTTTTGTTTTGGCTGTTTCCAAAAGTGTGTTTTCTTCTCCGCTCCGCTCGCCTTCCTGTTCCCTCAGCTGTCCTCCTCCCTCTCCGAATACTAGTCCACAGCACACACGCAAGTCTCGTCCGCCGCTATGCTCCAGTTATCAAGTCTCGCGAGATGAAGATCTTTTAGTTTACTGTTTGTCTGTGCATACAAAAGAATCAGAAACAAAATCAAGAATTATGTTGTTGCAATTTTAAGAAACAGGAAGTCACGAACTAGTAATTTGCTTTGGCTCATGGTGTAAACAAGATATAAGTATAAAAGATATAAGGCATGCATAAGGAAATACATACAATTATTTCCTTCATATTTCTTCCATATTAAAGTGTGCACTAAGTAGGCAAGGGAAGTTTATTTGCATTGCACAGTCATACACAAGGCAATTCAAAGTGCTGAACAAATAAGATAAGATAGAACCACTCACACATAGCATTAAAGTAAATAATCACAGTACCTTAAAAAGTACAAACAACAAAGCCGTTTAACAGTGCAGATAAAGAGACCGTTTCATAGACCGAAGCCTCCTGCCTGAGGGAAGTGGTTTGAATAGTTCATGTGCAGGGTGATAAAGTTATGTATAGGCTTATATAAATAGAAACATTTGAATGGTTGCCACATCATATATTATCATTAGATGCCACATTGTTATTTATTACCCCATAAAGAATACACAAAACAGAAAGACACATAAGTTTAAAGCAAAATATTGCAAAAAAATCAGCCTACAACAAGAGGCGTTCATCTTATTACCAAAATGTATAGCATATATCACCATTCAAATTGTGAATAGATCAAAATTGTAAACTAGAGCAAGATAAAGCACCACGAGTCACTATTTGACTCTTTGCGAAGCCAGTCTTTGAGCTGATTGGCTGAGCGAGGGTGGTACCTAAGAAACCTGATCTAAATATATGACAGAATACATCACTTTCTGTTGTTTGACCTTTTGTTACCTCATCTTTCATTTTGATTTTAAGGTTCTTACAAATAAAAAATAAAAAAATATTTCTGTCTTTCAGGCAGAAAGCAATCAAAATCACTGATAGAAAATACCTCCTTTCCTTGTGCTTTGAAATGAGACAGTGTAGCTCCAGATTGTAGCTTGGTGGAATGATTTAAATACCACTAGTCAAATTTTATGCCACAAAGGTCAATAAAAATATACGGAAGGAGGAATATTTTTAATGGATGCAAATGATTCATGTTTGTACTTTACATTCCATGGTTTGTACTTACTGGTGTGTTAGATTTGTTGTGTGTCTATTGTTAGAATGCCTTTTTTTCTTTAGCATTGAGCTCTTCCCACTGCTCTTGCAACACTGACATTGACATCCATCCATCCAACACATTTGGATGGATGCATTTGTAAATGCAAATAAAGCGATCCAAATTAAGCTGCGTGCTAATAGAAACAAATAAGGCTGTTGAATAGTTTGGAAAAATCCTAATGCAAAACCACATACTGAATGCTTTTTTTTGACTTTGCATTTGCTCAGCAGCTGCAAACTCGCCCTGTGCTCTCAAAATGGGTGTTACAGAGTGTGTGAGCTGAACGGAATACTGGGGTTTCAGAAATATTTATTATAGGCTATTTCTTCAAGTGTAAATACTTTTTGACCTTGTTTCTTGTGACCTAAAAAAACACATATGATGGTTTACCAGACTATAGACCATGGGTGTCAAAGTCAAGGCCCTGGGGACAGATCTGGTCCACAAATGAAATAACCCGGCCCCCGGAATGATATTTGATTAGTGTAGGAACCGGCCGCACAGAGCCATAAAAAAAAAGTTGGATCATTCATTTAATGTTCAGGACTAGTTTTCTCCTTGAAGGAAGTTTGTTTTTGTCAAACCTAGCTGTTGAAAAATGTTTCGTTTGAAATTACTGACAGAGCCATACCAAAATATTTGATTATTCATTTAATTATTAAATAAAATACGGTGCACTGTGTTATGTCTTGGTTCAAAAGGTTATATACAATCATTTTAATGTGTTTTAATAAACATTGAACCAGTCCGGATCTCTGATGTATTTGACTTTAACATATACTGTATCTGCTTGATTCCCGAGGCAAGATGGACAAATAATACTGACTTCTGTGAGTGTGTGTTAACATTTGGCCACTGCGGGGTGGATTTAATCTCTTTGCTGAAGAGCTGCTCTCATCTGTCTCTAGATTCAAGACATCATTTTTTTAATCAGACTGACTTGTTTGTTCAATAACTGCTGTTGAATATGTTCAATTACATTGCACACATGCCTATGTCTTGAATATAGTTTATGGTCTAGCCTAGCCAAGACCAGACTAAATATCACTATGCATTATGTGCAGTTTGAAAGGATTCGAGCAGCATGGGCATTCCCATGTGCCATATCGCGTGCTAGAGGGTATGTGGTCTTAAATTTAAAATAATTACATCAACATCACGATGTTTGGACAATGCTTCTTGTCTGTTAACATAATACTGTCATTCACGTGGACCTGCTCCCTTTGCGTCCTGTGCGGGTTCAACCCTCTGGAGAGCGCAGACAGAGGCTCCGGTGCGCACTGGAGCCCAGTGGACGAGCAGCGCACTTGGGGCCCTCTGGCGGCCGCGGGCCCCTGAGCGCCGTGTGTGGGAGGGAGGGAAGGAGGGAGGAGGGAGGAGGGAGGAGGGGAGGAGGGGCTTTGAGCTTGGACCAAACCTTTACCTGCATCCACCTGAAGCTCTTAAACTGCTGTGGGTGTGTCCAACACGGAGTCTGATGACACAAGACATGCCACAGTCCTGAAGCTGGGAGCAGAGCGCGCAGCTATGGGGAAGACAGAGGGTGGAAGAGGCGACTTTGAATGGGTCTACACGGACCAACCACACACTTCACGGAGGAAAGAAATCCTGGGTAAGTGGATTCTGCACTCCTCATGCTCGAAACACATGTTCCACATTGTAGCACCTGTTATAAAATAAATTCCGGTTAAACCTGTTTACTGGTGCTTGTTGAACAAGTCCAGGGAGGATCAAGGAACATGGCACGAGTCATGCTGACCACACACTAAAGACTAAGTCTTTAGTAACTGAGTAGACTATCATTTAAACTGGACATGTATACTGGTAACAAACAAGCAATGATAAATGATGTGTTCAAATGAAATGACATCCACAAACACTATTGAAAACTTTTACTTAACAACAGCATCACATTCATTTACAGCTCAGCACATCCCATCCCTCTGGTGTGAACGTGTTGAAGAGATGAGCTCTATCAGTCAGTGTGGGTTTCTCAAAAGGGGGTTATGGCCGGGGGGCAAGCAAAGCTGCCATGATTTGACCTATGTCGTTTCTGTAAACCTAAACCTATCTGGCCATATGACAATAGGAACCTGCTGATAACAGGTGCGGCCACTACAGTGCCCCTGGGCTCCAACAAGACACACACACACACACACACACACACACACACACACACACACACACACACACACACACACACACACACACACACACACACACACACACACACACACACACACACACACACACACACACACACACACACACACACACACACACACACACACACACAATGCACACACAATACCATGGATGAGGAGAGAAGGCAAGCACACAGAGATGAGTCCACAATCACTAATCCAACTAACCACATCGACTGTCACGTAAACTATGTTCAGGACTATTATAAAGTCTTTATTGGATGTAGCCACTGATTTAAATTGTGGTTAATCTTGTATCACGCATTACAACCAAAGAAAACGTCCTTGCTTTTTCCTCTACTCTAATTCCTACTCCTGAAGACGGATGAAATATATGATTCTGCCTGTTGTGTAACTGGAATCAGCCAATACTACAGCATTGTGCAAAAAGATTCTGGACTTGTCTAAATTAACTTTTAATTCACAGTAATTGTGAGGATAAAAGCTTACTGTAGATTTGTCCTTATTTATAACTAAAGTCTAGTTGAAATAAATCTGTCTAACTTTCTAACCACAAAAACTGGAACTATATCATTACAATCCATCTACTATGTCACTAGTTTTCACAAGTCATTTCTTGTCAACAACAAGAAAAGTGAAAAAGAGGGGACCAGCCTCACTCAACCAATCAGCTCTCAGCCCAAAGTGTCAAACTGTGACTAACAAGGCTCTTTCTGCAAATGATAAAATATTAGATGAATACCACATGTTGTGGTTGTGTCTGATTCTGTTTTTTCCCAAAGAAGTATTTTTAAAAAGGTACTTCAGCTTTAGGAAAGTATCTCAATGATTGACCGACGCTTAGTATGATTTATTGTTTTTACGGCTCAAAAACCTGAATTCTTACATTGTTTGGGCTCCCCTCGCCCCATATATGACCTGTGACTTGGCCTAATGAAGCCCTTTACTTTGGCCTCTAAATAATGCGCATTGACAATTGAATAATGCCATACTGTGAAACATTCCAGTCAAAACCACCACATTTAGCTGGATCTGAGAAAAAAAGTGGACCCTGTTCTATAGATACAATGGACCTTTTAGAAATGGAAAATGTTTAGAATTTGGTTTAGAATGGAATAAAGATGACATTTATTGACATGAATGGTTTTTGGGGTTCCGTCTGTGAGCTTCCCTGGGATTTCCGTTTTACCAAACACCTACAAACTTTAGAAATTAGAACACATATGACTTGCATGACTTTGTAAATATAATTGAATTGTGTTTAATTGTCATCGCACACAAGCGCCGGTATAAAGGAAGTCTCCAGAAAGGTGATGGATCGTTTGACACCGGTGAGCCTTGAATAATTGATGATTTTAGTTTTAATACGTGACCCCAGCTCACAGGCCGACCGCAGGCAGCCCCCTCCCAACATGTGGTGTGCAGAGTTTGGGTGCGATATAGTTTTACACGCTCCATCTTCCAGCATCAGCACATTGTACCACGCCCCAGTCTGTCCAGTCTCTCCAGTCGCCCCAGTTTGCAGGAGGTGATGGGAGCGTGTGCGGGATTAGAACGAGCTGTTGTGTTTCTCTCCTGATGCAGATCCAGGGTCTCTGCAACAAAGGCTCTGAGCGTCACACCTGTGCTCATCACTTTTGCCCCAATGTTAATATTTAATGTTTGAAAGACAAGCAACGCCAACTTGAGCCACATCTCGACTGCCCAGACCCGCACGGTTTAACTGAAAAAATCTGTCTATCTAACTTTATTTTCAAACAGAACTATTAGGGTGGAACCAGATATAATGTCATCCTTAATATATTGTAAGTTTTGTTGTTGGTGTGGAGCGGATCCCTCTCCGTGTGGATCTCCCCGAGGTTTCTCACTTTTTTTCCATTGGGTTTTTGTGAGTTTCTCCTTGCTGATGGACAGTTGGTGTCTGACAAAAAGGACTGTGGTGATGATCCAGGACACATTTATCAACATGTGTTCTGTATTGTTTTTTTGTGGTGATTTCAATGGTTTTGTTGTTCCTCTGAGATGACTACTGTTGTGATCTAGGGCTATGCAAGAATAACTGGTATTGTATTGTTGATTTAAAGTAGCAGTATGTAAGATTTTCTTGTCAAGTCATATTTAAATGCCCCTAATTCATCATCAATGTTGACATAATTGCCAAAAAAATAAAATAATTGCCAGTAAAGCTAAACTTGTGCTGCATCCAACCCCTTTCTAACTCTGTCACCAGCGAAGGTGGCACAGTGGTTAGCACTTGTGCATCACAGACAGAAGGTTCTGGGTTCAATTCCACCCCCAGGCCTGTGTGGAGATTACATGTTCTCCTGTGTCTGCGTTGGTTTTCTCCAGGTGCTCCGGTTTCCACTACCACTAAAAACATGTAAAGGTCCGTGCCTGGACGGAGCTACTATACATGTTTTAGAATCTCTTAATATTAATCTTAATAGCAAGTATGCACAATATTTGTCAAGGCTTCTCTGTCTGTCAAAGGCGCTAAGTAATTATGACTTATTTACATGTACAGGTTTTAAAATAAACATCTGGGGGATTGGTTGATAAACTGCTTTTACTGGTTATTTTCTATTACATACTGGAAAAACTCCGGAAAACAGAATCTTTTTTTATTTAAATTACCATATCCTCAAACTCTGCACTCAGTCACATGTTTAAAGTCTCTAATAAATTTTCAATGTGTGCGTTTTTATTATCATGTGGTATTTAAGAGCTGTCACTTTGATTTAGTTGGTAAGTCATTGTTTGAGCAAAGTTTATTGCACAAGTCACAAGACAGAGTACTGTAGGGACTGGCCTTCTGCTGGTGCCCAGAGTCAGGATTATAACACCTGGAAAAGTCTTCCTGAAAATGTCTGACAATGTTCTGTCAGGATTTAGCAGACAGAGACTAACAGTTCAAATCCAGGTTTTGTTCATCTCTGCAAAAAACTGAAGGACTGTATCGTCACTCTTTCTAATGTACAGGTGTTTTCTATGATTCCAGTGACTTTCTGGGATTGTTTATTCAAAACATTTCATCAAAACATTTCAATTCATTTTTGTAAAGCTATATTATAACAGCAGACGTCTCGGAGGACTTAACAAATTGTCCATTCGCCAACACAGATCAGAGAATCAAACCGTTCAAACACAGAAATGCTATAAAACAAAAACACATAGAGCCATTGGTCCATAAGGGGCGGGGGGCCAATGTCCATAAGTTCTATCTTGATTTGTTAAGTACCTTGTGTTTTCCTCTGTAGCACTATGTTACTTATTTCCATACTACTTCAACAATATGGAGTATTCGGGTCATGAATCTGCTTCATGCTAAAGTTGAACCGACCTGGGCTTGGTCACAGAATAGTCCTGTTGCCACTTCCCTCAGTCCTTTGTCTCTCACCTTGTTACTAAGGCGAAGCCTGTTTGCACAAAGCCACACACAAGAAAAATAATGCGTCCGTCTGCTGCAATCTCTACGTTGGATGCAGAGACGCAGTTTGCACAACAACCTTCTGTATTTGAATGTATTTAAATGGCCAGACCACAGACCATCGCTCTAGTGTTTGTTCTGTATCCTCTGAAGATAAATCTAGCTTGTTTTTGAACACTCCTGTTTCTTGTCCCTCTGAACAACAACACCTTTGCTAATTAAAGGGCCTCCCTACAGGCAGCACCTGACACATACCGTCTGATCCACAGCTATTGTTCACCTCTATGTAACTGTCCAAACACAAAAGCCCATTGTTCTTTTGTTTGCTTTATCCCCTAACTATGTTCCTTCTCACTTTTCTTATGCTACGTTGTATTGTTTCCACAGCCAAATACCCCCAGATCAAGTCTCTGATGGGCCCGGACCCCCAGCTGAAGTGGGTGGTCTCTGGGATGGTCCTGACGCAGATCTTTGCTTGTTACCTGGTGCAGGATCTTCCCTGGAAGTGGATCTTCTTCTGGGCCTACGCGTTCGGAGGCTGCATTAACCACTCACTGACTCTGGCCATTCACGACATCTCTCACAATGTGGCTTTTGGAAACAAACTGGCCAAATGGAACCGCTGGTTTGCCATGTGGGCCAACCTCCCCATCGGAGTGCCCTACTCCGCCTCCTTCAAGAAGTACCATGTGGACCACCACCGCTACCTGGGAGGAGACCAGCTGGACGTGGACATCCCCACGGACCTGGAGGGCTGGTTCTTCTGCACTCCGGCCCGGAAGCTGGTCTGGCTCTTCCTGCAGCCGCTCTTCTATGCTCTGCGCCCTTTGCTGGTGAACCCCAAACCCGTGGGTCAGCTGGAGATCCAGAACGCAGTCTTCCAGCTCACAGCAGACTTGATTATTTTCTATTTCTGGGGCATAAAGCCCATTGTCTACCTCATCGCAGGCTCCATCCTGTCCATGGGCATACACCCCATCTCTGGACACTTTATAGCAGAGCATTATATGTTCCTCAAAGGACATGAAACCTATTCTTACTATGGACCTCTGAATCTGATCACTTTCAACGTGGGGTACCACATGGAGCACCACGACTTCCCCAGTGTTCCCGGCAGTAAACTCCCTCAGGTGAGACGTGCTTTATCAGAGGGTTGAACATTCACTCAAATGAGGATCAGAGAACAGATTGTGTACAGGATCCATCAATGTTTTACCCTCGTACACAAAGGCGTGGCCGTGCAGTGATAAAAGCTAATTAATTTTGTCCTTTCATCTTTGGATCTTTGGCCTGAAAAATGCTTTAACGTACAGCTTAATTCACACGTTCGAAAAAAAACCTTGTGAAAAAATCCACAGTGATAAAAAATACCATAAACACAATCTTTTTTCAAGCTGAACTTTGAGTTTTCACAACTTGACCAGACCTGGATCATTTAGACCCCTTTAGACCATAATTTTTAATGTTTTTCCCCTCTACTTTTAATCCTCTGTGGCGGGTCAATTTGACCCAAGGGTAGCACAAGGTTAGTTAGAATACAGTTAACAAAAAAGGTTGTTTTTAAAATGACAATTGCATTAATTTGCTTTTAATAGTAGTAACTTTTAGGATCTACATGTACATTATTTAGTATTTGTGGATATTGGATCATTGAACTTATTGGACTTGTAGATCCTAAAAGTTACTACTATTGAAGCAAATGAATACAATTGTTCTAAAGTTCATTTTTTTTCTAAATTAATTTTTTTTCAATTTGAAACATATGACACAGACTCCACACAAAGAGACATAAGCCTTTGTTTGTTAATATGCAAAAAAATGTTGTTAACATTTTCAAAATAGTCTCATTTTCAGTATAACAAAAAAGGCTTGGCATACCTCACCTGTCTGTCATGTATCAGTCATATATTCATTTCACATTGTAATTTGAACCTTTTGAACAATAATGATTTACATTTTTAGTTCAGTTTTAGTTTCACCTCTTTGTGTTTCATCCTTCACACAACGATGAGAACGATGACGGGACCCAAACCCAGGACTTCTGCCTTTCTGCTCCACTGCACTGGAGGTTCTGTGATGGCAACTGATGCAGTTTTGAGCGATTTACAAAGAATAATAAATAAATAGAAAATAAATAAAAAAATAGAAATAATTAAATAAGATTTAAAAAAACGCATTATAATTAAGATTACATAAAAAAATCTTCATAAAAATAAAAATAAATAAACACCCTAAAAACCCCCCAAAAAATTACAACCAAGAATACAAAAAATACAATAAAAAAATACTAAAAAAATAATGAATAATCTCCCTTGTGTCGTGCGCAGGTGAAGCAGATCGCCTCAGAGTACTACGACAACCTCCCGCAGCACACGTCCTGGACCCGGGTTCTCTGGGACTTTGTGTTTGACGACAGCATCGGTCCGTACGCTCGCATCAAGAGAGAATACAGCCTCAAGATGAAGGACAAGAACAGGGACTGAACTGGGGCTGGTCCCACTCACTCCTCACCCCCAAACTAGATCTGATCCTTTCAACACACTCAGAACTAGCTTTGACTGTCTTTGTTTTGGTTACTCTTGGAAGCACATTATTCTCAAGGCAATCTGCTTCTTCAACACTGAAAAAAAATTAATTATAATAATGTATATGCTTGATGTGGTTTTTATCTTAAGAGTATACGGTTAATTTATTTCTGTAATTCATCTTGAAATGTGAAACTAATATATGATACTTTACATGCATTTACAGTAAATAAATTGACTTTGAGTTTCAACTGTAGATTTTCTGTCTTAAAACTGAAAGTCTTGCCAATTGGACAAGCAGTTTAGTCTTGTTTACTTTACTCTCATTCCAATGGACGTTTTCTTGCCATTTTAAACCCAGACATGTTTGCTTGTCTTGTTGCTTTAAGACAAACCGATTGTTGGGCCAGTCTGGGTGCAGGTTTTCATTCCAACCAAGCAGGAGCACACAAGACTCCGCTCATTTCCTCCAGTCCCCAGGTTAAGACTGGACTCACTTACGGAAACTGATAGAGTCTGGTGTGCTCCTGCTTGGTTGGAGTGAAAACCTGTATAGCCAAATTGACCCTCAATGACGGCCGAGTCAACACCACTATTTTAAGGCGGTCGAAATGCATTAAATTACAGATAATTCTTACCTAATTCGGTTGTTTGACTTTTTTGTGTCACATTTTGCAGTGAATGTAAAGATGCATATCTTTTGTTCGTGTTTTGTGCGGCGACAAGCAGTGACACTTACCTTTTTGTAAGAGGAGCTTTTCCCTCCAGCTTCTGTTTTGTTAACTTATTGTTCAATATATTCAGTTTCTTTATAACAGAAGTGCTTATTGTGTGTGCGTGTGTGGATGAAAACTGGTAAAAGCTAATCACCAATGATCCTAATGATTAAAGTGTATAAGTGTGAAGTACCCTTAAATATATTTTGTTTGTCATTTGTTAAACTTCTATTAACAACATGCTCTTTGTCTAACTCAAACCTTTCATATTCCCCTCCCCTCAGCAAAAAATAAAGAAAAAATGCAGGAAAGAGTAAAGCGAGTGACATCAATGGGGAGAGAACCAACCTTTAGAACAAGGAAGTTGTCTTTAACTATTCAGGAAAAATGGATTATTTGAAAGGGAAATTAACTTTTAACCATGGATCTATAATTTTTAACATATGACTTCCAGCTGCGAATATATTTTCATCATGCTAAATTGCTGAAGTTAGAGATTTTATACTTTATTTCTTAAGCGAAAGTCAAGAAATATTATGCTTAATTCTTGCTTCTATATTATGCTAACCCTTAACCGTCCATGCTAACGTTGACGTCCAGATTTTATACTTAATTCTTGCTTCTTTATTATGCTAATTTGGATTTGATTTGATGTTAGTATAGAGTTATTGTTCACTTATCTTATGCTGTGTGCGTCCTACTGTTCTGATGATGCAACACTGAAATTTCCCCACTGTGCGGCGAATAAAAGCATCTCTTAATCTCAATCAAATGGAGGCGAGACAGACACAAAAAGTGCTTTGACACATGTATTGAATGTTTGTTATTTTTGAGCTCCCAGGTTTGAATTCCAAAAATAGTTGATAGACGAAGAGTGGAGTTTCTTTTTCTTTCAAAACCAAAAGTCCAAGTCCTCTTTTCTTCTTCTCTCACATGAAACCAGCACATTCTGACAGATCTGACCTGCGAGCATCCGGAGCACAGAACCCTCCCAAAAAACGTACCACCGACTTTTTAAAAACGATTCAGTCTTGTCTCATGGTAAAAAACAAAAAGGTATTGAGAACCAGGGTTTTCATGCATACGTGAGGGATTACAAAGACAGAAATAGAGTTGTGTTGTGGACAGAGGTGGCACGGTTACGGCTTTTTGTTTTGGCAACTTCTCCCCGAGTCCAGAACATTCAAATGAAGTCTCACTCCTTTCTCAGTATTTGATTGTGTGGCATTCAAAGTCAATCATGGTCAGTGGTAGAATCATGTGACCGAGATCCAAAAGTAATGCAATTCATGTGTGTTGTTGTAATGTTTACTCAGAATTAAAGCTAGGATACGCAACTTTCAAAAATCATACAAACAAATACTGTAGTAAAATCCATCTTGGCTCCTAGCTTTCAAAACCGTTTCACTGCTTTCCATGGTTTTGTTTGGCCTCGGTCACGTCTTTAGATCAGCTTTTTCCAGTCAGAAAAGTGAAAAATAGAGGACCACCTTCTCTCAGCCAATCAGAATCCAGCTCAAAGTGACAAATAGTGACTGGCAGGGCTCTAATAAAATGTTGCGGTCTGAACACCTCAAGACACACAGCATTGATTGTTAATTAAAAAATAAAGTTATGTACCCCAGGTTTAAAAAGTCACAATTGAGTACTTTTTGGTCTCCTGAGCAACAACTGAGCTTTAACAACAGAGATAAAACTCAGAAAAAGTCTGTGCCCCTTTTACATAAATCAGATTAAATAATCATAAAAAGCCAAGTTTTTTCACTCTTGTATGTTTTTAGCAAACGACAGGAAAGTACATGAGGTGGTTATACTTTACATTATATTTTGTAAGATTGACAAATCTTTAACCCAATTTGGCCATTTAAAAAAAACGCTATTATTTTACTTCCTGGGTGTAGTTGATGATATCACAGTGGAAATGTTACCGAGCAACCATGTATTCTACCGGGCCAAAACTCATATAATTATTTACTTTTCGTTAGTTATGACCAAAAGGACCACATGAGCTTCCTTCATGGCTGGATGCTCCCTAGAGATAGGATGAGGAGCTCAGTCACAGGGGGGGGGGGGGGTTGGAGTAGAGCCGCTGCTTCTCCGGAACCAGTTGAGACCCAGGGGAAGACCTAAGACAAGCTGGAAGGACTGTCTTTAAGCTGGCCTGGGAACGCTCCAGGATTCCTCCAGATGAGCTGGAGGAGGAGTGTGAGGATAGGGATGTCTGTACACTTCTGGTTAGACTGCTACTTGCGCAACCCGGCAACGGATAAAGCGTAAGAAAACAGATGTATGGTAGAGAAGGCTTGTAATTTTAAACTATATACTTTTATGTTATTGTCCCTTTGAACTAGAATTTAGGGTTACAATCTCAATCTAATAAAAGTGTGTGGTTGTTTTGAGAACATTTGATGTTTTACTTTTGACTGCTATTAGACGCCATGCTAAACACAGGGACCCATTATTATAAATGCTGGAAGTTAATCATATTCAAAATCATCTCAGGGGCCAGCAGCTTCTTCCACCACTGACCATGTTCATAGTTCAGTATGAAAACAGACTTGGGATGTTTCATTTTCAGTTCATTTTGAGGTAAAGCGGGTTCATCGAGACTCCTGCTCCATGTTGCGTCTCCTTTGTGCTTGTCTTTGTGAAATATGGCCTCCACAACTCAAAAAAAAAGTCAAAATAAAAAACAAAAGACTGACAAAAAGGTGTGCAAGATTCCTTTTGCCTTTTTAACTTCATCCATAAAATACACATTGCCATGAAACAGTATCATAATAAACACCAGAGTTTTTTTAAATAATAAAACGGTAAAAACAAAAAAATCATTCCTTTGTGGGACTGGATAGAAGATAAAGAGTTTGAAGACTCTCCCGGTGGTCTTCTGGTGGTCTCTCCCCCCTTTGGCCTTCTGCGTGAGTCCAGTCTGTGTCCAGCAGACTAATGTTAGCTCAACATCTCTGCGACGTGAAGGGCCAGAGGTCACAGGAACATTGAGAGAACATGGTTTGGTCCTCGTGAGGTCTGTGAGTCCTGCCCCCTCCTCTGCCGCTCCATTAGGACGTGCTGATTCTGCCCATTTCCTGTCTGATGGCTGCAAACACACACACACACACACACACACACACACGTTAGCCTTTAAACTTGATTTTGAAATTATGCTTTACGATGTGAAATAATGGAAGCAGTGAATAGAGAAGAATGTTGAGCCGTGAACCTTCCACTTAGAAGAAACTAAGGCTGTGATCATTGACGCTTTAGTTTATATTTGCCAAATAGTGATCTTTATTTATATACCGCCTTTTCACTGCAGATCTGAGTCTCAAAGCGGTTTACAATTGTTATTATTTTATTTTGGGCATTTGTCTCTCACTCCACACAGAGATGGGAGGGGCCAGTACAGGAGGCGCATGCTAGAACTATTGGACATATTTTTAGTGGTAGGGGAAACCGGAGTACCCGGAGGAAACCTACGCAGACACGGGGAGAACATGCAAACTCCACTCAGAAAGGCCCTGGTCCGACCGGGATTCGAACCCAGGACCTTCTTGCTGAGAGGCGAGAGTGCTATCCACTCAGCCACCGTGCCGCCCGATAAGAAAATAAGAAAAGTTTTGAAACAATTGATCCAAACGAGGCTAAAGCTAAAGCAATGTCGAGAAGTAACATAAGCAAGCTCTGTGGACCCGTCTCTCCAGCCCAAGATGCTAAAGCTCCAGAAGCAAAAAAAAGCTTTTTTTGTAAATCCAGATACTGTATGAGCCATGTAAGGATTGACCAATCAAATGCCTTCACTCGCGGGGCATACTCCATTTTACAACCAACTTAGCAACCATCTTTGCGTCACATTTGCCCCGGTGCAAAGCTAAACGCTGTCAGAGCAAATGCCCTTATAAGGAAGTTGGCTCAAGCTATCTTCTGTTCAAACCATAGACTGTGTATATTAACGGACGTAGTCACGCCTATCTCTGCCGTTCTAACTAATGGGCCAAAAGTTGGGCTCTCATGGAGTGATTCAAAATGGCCGCGGGGGCTGGAAAATGTGAAAAAACGCATCTGCGCATGCGTCAGTCGGCACGAGCTCCATTAATTTAAACGAGTGCCTTCAAAAATTTACAGCGACAAAACTAGACTGGTCTAAAAAAATTCACCCCCCTCAGCATTGACACACATGTGGAACGGAGCTTTGGGCCAAGAGCCAACTTTTGGACCATCTTGTAAAGACGTTTTTGAGAGGTAAGAAGATGCTATATGTTAGCATTGGCTAATTCTTATTCCGGGTCCACCCCCATCGGCCCGGGGTGGTATTGCAAGCATGTCAGCGCACGTCATTTTGGCCACTTTTGAGCTGGGACCCGCCCTCCACTGGTTCAAACCGACTTCTCACACATTTGCAAAACACTGTGGTAACGTCAGCACTCGCTCTCTAAGGATGACTTTTTACAGCTATTTTAGTTTTTTTTAAATGATATTTCCTAATGATTTGGTTCTAGCTGTGCAACCGACTAAATGATTTCCTCTGGGTCTCCTCCGGGTCCTGTGTCGTCGGCTACAGGCGGCTCTCTGCTCCTGGTGCTGACGGCTCCTTGGATGACGCTTTTTTCAGCTGGTTGCATCTGAACCCTGCCAAGTCTCTTATCATGGTTTTACTGTTTTACTGGTGCGTGTGTGTGTGAGTGTGCATGAGAGCATGTGTGTGTGTGTGAGTGTGCAAGAGAGTATGTGGGTGTGTGTGAGTGTGGAAGAGAGCATGTGTGTGTGTGTGAGTGTGCAAGAGAGTATGTGGGTGTGTGTGAGAAGGCGTGAGTTCGTCTGTGTGTGTTTGTCTGCGTATATGGTTTGGGGGGGGTCTGTTGGGTGGGGGTCATGGGCCGGCGGGATTGTTTTTAACCAAACTGTAAAGCACTTTGTGTTGCATCTTCTGTATGAAAAGCGCTTTATAAATACATTTTGATTGATTGACTTACTATTGTTAATGCGCTGTGGCTATTTATGATTTAAATGCCATGTGTGATTTCAAAGTTTTAAGGTTTTTAATTTCTTGTGTGATTTTGTTATGTTTATAATATTTCTAGTGATCTTAATGTTTATTTTCAATGCCCCATGGGAATTTAATTGTATTTTTTCATCTTTAGGTAGGAGGCGTTGTGTAGCCTAGGAGGCGTTGTGTAGCCTAGGAGGCGTTGTGTAGCCTTGTGTAAGTAAAAGTGGATTGATTGATAAAAGGTGAGATAGAAAAGGTGCATGAATGGACGTACCATGGATGATCTCGTCTTTCACTTTATGCAACTCTCGAACAACTTCATCCAAAATTTCCTGCAACGCATCAGTCTTTTAGTTTTTATTTAAAAACTGTGACGTCGACTGGACCTGGAGACGGCTTTACCTGCTTCATGCGGTCAAACTCAGAGTCGGACTCACTTGTGCTACCGACGGGTCTGACCCTGGAACACAAACAACACAAATATACAATTAATATTCCACTAAAAGCACCTAATAATAATAACAATGATGTCTACGCACCTGGATACAAGCGAAGACTTCTCAGCGGAGTTGGATCTTTCCCAAGGCTTTTTCACAGCATCTACACATCCACAAGTATAATCATTACAGGAAAAGGTCCAGGTGGTTATAACTATTGTTATTATCATCATTCCTGTCTTTTTGCACTCCGAGTGATGCTATCTATGCCAAATAATGTCTGTTCAGCTGGAAGTCTTTGGTTCACTCTGGTCAGTGTTTTAACCACTGTGCCTCGAGACTTTTTTGTGTCGTTTTGAAAGTTATCAATATTATCCAATTGGGCTTTTTAAAATGTATTCCTCCATGTATGTCCAAGAGTACAGTAGTTTCATCAAACAACAATATTGTTCTAATTTTCTGAGAATTTTAATTTACTGTGAGCCAATAAGCCTCAGTCCTGGATCTACAGCCTCTACGTCCATTGGAGTGGGTTCCTCTATTGTTTTTTGAGTTGTCCTTGCCTTTGGACGGTCAAAGAACAACTCACTGATGGTGATGATCCGGAACATAAATGGTCATCGTTCCTCCTGTTCCCTATAGAAAAATTGCTTGTGTGTGCTTTGTGTTATTGCATTTCCTAAGTTTGAACTGTGATTCTGATTTTTTTATTGAAGGGTCGACAATTTTGTAAAGATCTCCGAGGCATCTGCGGATGTGAATTTGGGCTGTGTCAAATATATTGATTTGAATTATTTTCATATTCACCACACTGAGAGTGACTTTGCATTGGTAATAAAGGATGGAGAGTTTCTTATGTTCAGTTTCAGCTGCTTGGGGAACTCTGGTCTCATCCAAATGTATTCTTAGAGTCCTGAGAGTTTACCTGTCGAGTTCTGCCCCCGACCGCTGGAGTCGTCCTGCTCAACACAACAACCACAATCACAATCGCACACAGGTTATATCAGGTCATGAAGAGGAGAACAAACAAACTAACCTCATCAGGTTTCTCCGAGGCTTTCCTCCTGAGCAGCACATCGGGCAAACAGCCAGACACATAAAGGAAAAGTGAGAGTCACTCATTAACCACAGTAAAAGTATATGACCACAGACATTACCTCCATAATTGACCATAGCAACAGGACACAATTATTACCAATGACATTTCGGTCTGAGAATGGATGGGTCCTGCAGGTTTATTCAAGTCAAACGCAAGTCTTTTTCCGACCTTCAAATATATATATATCTTTTTAAAACTACATATTTTTGACCATGTGACCCCGTTGTATCATCTAAAATAAGTTTTTTCCCCCACCAAAATATATTTAACATCGCTGGAGCAGAAAGAACCCCCTTCAAGTAGCTCAGGTAACTTCTTGAACTTGGAGAATGCGCGACAGAGAAGTTACATACTGCTCACGATTTAGGACTGCACACAAGATTTTTAAGCATAATTTCCAAATTTACCAATTCATTGCTTTTTATACCATACACAGGGAACCTTAACCCTGTGTATCTCAGATCACCACAGTGACTTTTTGTTTAAATGAAGTATTGGGCTCGTACCTGCGTGCGAGTAAGGCGTTCATCTCCTGCATGAGGCCCTCTCCTCCGCTGCCGCTGCCGCCACTGGAGCGGTTGGAGTCGGCTTTCCCCGAGCCGGGCGGGCTGCTCTCATCCTGCCACACAACACACTGAGACATCAACACACTCATCCTTCTACAAGAGTTGCAAGTGTGCTCCTTTGGGTTTTAATGTTCATTCTTCAGATAATAAAAACTCAACCATTAAAGTGGACGGACAGAGTGAGAGTCACACTGGGGCAGAATCCTGGCAGCGTTACTGTGATCAGTGCCATCATCAGTGTGTTGTGTCAATACCGTGTGTCCTCGTTATTCTACACTCACCCTTTGGACTCTGCGTAGTTTGGCTCCTGCCAGCGCTGCAGCTAGGCCTGAGGGCTGAGGAGGCCCAGCCGGCCCCCCAGGAGGGCCCCCGCCTGTGGGCAGAGGTGGAGGCATAGGGGGGGGCACAGCCATGGGGGGCGGTGGGCCTGGAGGCGGTGGGCCTGGAGGCGGTGGTGGAGCTGGAGATGGCACTGCTGTGGGAGGAGCCACAGAGAGCATGGCGGGGTGACCGGCAGACACAGGGGGGCCTGAGGAGCGACAGGGAAGGACACAATCTAAGAAGAGCCCCGAGTGTGTACTACAGCTCCCAGCTCCCTGAGCCGCACCTCGAGCACCGTCTAAACTAAAGTATTTACCTTTATTTATCTGACAGTAACAGTCATGTAATCTTTGAGGCCAATCATGTCACCTCTTTGGAATATCAGGACACCATGATTTTATCTTCAATATCTGACAACAGACTGAATGAATCATGTGCAGAACGCAGGCCTTATGGGCTGTTCCAGCACAGACACAGCAGAGGCATAGGACTCACTGGGACGAGACCTTTGGCTGTGTCACTGACCTTCCTGAAAATGTGAGACAGGGTTCTACTCTTTAAACAGTTCTGTTTAGCTGTGCACACAACTGGACGATTTTACAGAGTATTCTTTTAAATGAATGCCCACACTGTGGTTACATACACTTCAGCGGGTTTATGAGTTTAAAGTTTCATCTCTTGTTTTAAGAGCACATTCTCTTGTGTATGAATTGTACTATACAAATAAACCTGCCTTGCCTTACTGGTCGAGTCGTACGATATATAAAGTGCATGACACGTGGTGTTATTGCGCAATAAGTGGGGTGCGTTCAGGAGAGCTGAGAGCCTCTAACCTTCTGACTCATTCTCACATTCACAAACACACAACGACCAACACAGTTTAGAAAAAGGCAATGACACACGATTTTAAAAAGGTCAAAGACATCTCCCTCGACAACAGGATAAACCAATAAAGGCATGAGTTTTGTGTTTTGGCTGAGGACACACTCATTATCGAAATCAGCAGTGCACGCAGTCTGTGTGACTCAGAGATGGAGAGATTATTTACGCCAGTTTGTGGAATGTTCACGACCAAGTTTGAGCATCTCCCTGGAGACCAGCAGGAGGCAGACCTTTCACTGGATACATTACACTCAGGTCTGTGAACAAACAGATTCTCTCATGCCAGAGACCTAACCTAAGAATTAACTTTTCTCAGATTTTAGACATGTTATAGTTTTCCCTTGTCATTCACACAACACTGTTTTTACACATGTTTGAGATACTTCTATTGTGACAACACCAAGCCCCTCTGCTGGTTTTTATCTTCTTCACCAATTTGGCTCCTATGTGTTTACTGTGTTTGAACTGTTTGTTTTTCTGATCTGTATTAGTGACACAACAACTATATGAAGTCCTCCTAGACGACTGCTGTTGTGAATCAGGGCTATACATAAATAAATTGAATTTTTTGTGCTGCTTCTGTGGTTTCCACAGAGCCACTCTCTCAGAGTTGTTTCAGTCCTCTATGGTGTTTCACTTCTTTTCAGCGACCAACACAAGGTAAAAATATTTTTTTTGTAAATATTACATTTTAAATTCACTCAAAACTTTTTTTAAAGAGCCACTGGAGTCAAATCATATGAGAGAGAAAAGGATCGGTTTAATGCTCATACAGTACCATGAACCTGTTATGAGGTAATTATGTCTTCCTCTCAAAATGTGTTGGGGTCTTTTGTTAACAATAAAACACTTTTTAATGGTAAGTTTTTAATATTGATTGAAGTAACGTGAAAACGTGAACAGAATTGAAACAAGATGTCTTCCCTTTAAAATGTGGCTCATGTGCAGAGTTCTAAACCTTTGGAGCTGTGACTGATACACACTTGTACAGATAGCCACCTCCGCATGGGCTCCTCGTACTTACTGCTGCTGGCCATGGGGGGCTGCAGGGGAACAGGGGAGGGGGTCTCCTTGGGCGAGCCCCCGTCAGAGGCAGAGTAAGAGGGGGGCGATGGGGCAGGGGGCTGCTGCTGATGCTGGTACACCAGTGGTTGCTGTGGAGATGACTGCAGTTGCTGAGGTGATGGCTGCTGCTGGGGGTGAAAGGTGGGATACTGAGGCGGGGCGTAAGGATTGGGGTCACAGTACGGGGCAGGCTCCTCGGGTTGACCGTTTGTGTGCTGCTGGGGGTGTGGGGGGGGCTGGTAGTGCTGCTGAGGCGGGGGTGCGTAGGTAGGGTTAGGCTCTGGAGGAGGGGGCTTCATTCTCACTGGGGGCAGGGGGTGGGCGACAGGGAGAGGTTGTGGGGGAAGACCCTGCTTCACAGGGACAGCCATCATGACAGGGGGGGAGTTAGAGGCGGGCATCTGCATCTGCCCATACATCTGCATCTGCTGCAGGTGAGACGCAGACCACGTGCCGTGTTTCGGGGGGAGGACCATCTCCTGCTGCTGGTGCAAGTGCCGAGCAGCTGTGGGCGGGGACAGGGGGATCTGACGGACCTGCCGGCCCTGGGTGTTCACCCCGGCCTGCACCGGGGAGAAGGCAGAAGCTAGGGAGGTGGACAGCTGTGCCTGGAGCTGAGCCTGGAGCTGAGCCTTGTCCTGAGCGGGAGAAGGGGGTGAGTCGGAGGCCACCCGGGCGTAGGATGGCGGCAGTGTGCTAGCGCGGAACTGTCTGTACTCGGGAGGGGTGTCGGGGTGGACAGGGGGATTGGACACTTTGTATTGGAGGGTGGAAACGACTGACAGACAGAGCCACAGAGATAGAGACAGACAGAGGTGTGGACCACGAGAGGAGGGCAACAGACAAAGGAAAACAGAAAAGAGAAAACGTGAGCAGATGAAAAGCAACCAAGTAATTAAAGATGAGAAAAACAATAGCAATCAAAAACTGACGCTTACAGCAAATAAGAAAGAATCAACTCATAATCATCATAATCAAAAAGAACAAGCAGCAAAATGCAACATGACTGAGCCATGGGCTGAGCTTATGGCGGCCGGCGCTGGACAGTGATGGCATCGAACATGTTGCAGGACGAGGTCCTCACAGGACAGGGGCATGTGCTTCAGGGGGCTGGGGCATGTGTGCATGGGTAAAGCATACACACACAGTGGGACAGGGTTCTGAGGAGACAGTACACCATACACACCCACACAGAGCTGCTTCTGCATCAGCACCTGGAATGTGACCTAACCTTACTGTTGAAGAAAGTGCTTTTCCTACAGAGCTGAGGTCCGTCCTAGAGCTGAGGCCCGTCCTAGAGCTGAGGTCCATCCTAGAGCTGAAGGAGGTCTAAACCTGGGCTCTAGTGGGTTCACCTACTGTGCTGAAGCTTGTCCTAAAGATGGGCCCCTGTGGGTTCTCACCCGATCCTGACGTGCGTCTCTCCCTCTCCTTATGAGCCTGCTGCATTTGGTGCTGCTCCATCATCCTATTAACCACAAGTATCCGTTATGTAGTGGAGAAAGCACACACACATCGGACAGGCATAAGATCTTATGTTACCTCCTCTGGGCCTCGCTCTCCTCTGAAGACGGCCCATTCTGTCGCTGGACAACTGGACCTGAGTAACAAGGGTCAGAGATGTGGCTCAATTATCACAGACAACTGCATCTTAAGGACTAAACAAATTCAGACAAAACAAATCAGTGAAATCCACTCGGCTGGAATTACTGTGTATTCGTAACTGACCCATCAAAATGATCCATCACAAAAACATGTGAAAACTTTTGTGCAATAACTGCACAAAACTAAACTCTAAACTAGACAATTATGGTGCAGTACTAGGTACTTAGGTACTAGAATGTACCTAGGTGTATTATTTTTCCATCTGTCCCACAGTGGGGAAATTGATGCAGTGTTGCATCACCAGTTTCAGAACAGTAGGAATGAGGAGCACACAGCACAAGATAAATGAACAAAAATAATCTAAAATCTCCAACTTCAACATAAATTAAGCATGTATAATATCTCTAGCTTCAGCATAATAAGGAAGCAAATCTAACATCTCAAACTTTGGCATAACGAAGAAGCAAGAATTAAGTACAAAATCTCAGACTTCAGCATTTTCCCGATGATGTTATCGCAGGTCGACATGTTTTAGGCAATACAAAAAACCCAATCTTTGCTCAGAAGTTTTGTGTTGATTCAGAAGTCTTTTCTCTTCAACAATACATTACACAAACTTTAAACGACTAATAATATACCAGGCTACATGGCATGCCGTCACCATATGTTGACAAGGGTCAGGGCATATACTATGTGACTATGCTTGTCGCTATGGTGACGGTGCAAACAGGAGATTAATTAAGCAAATTTTCCCACAGCCACAACAGAGCATTTGAACACAAGTCACCTGAGACACCGCAAAAACATTTCCACATAAGTTAGTTAGAGCTAAAGCACCCACAAAAAAACATCACACCTAAATCTTCCACAACAGTGAATCAAAGACTTAAAAACAAAGGATGAGCAAAACTAAGGAAGCACTGACGTAGTTAATGATGCTATGGAATATTGAAATTTATCTCTTGAGGGCACTGTTTATCAAAAAGATTTTTACGTGATGATGAGTGTAAGTGCAATTGCAGTATTGACTAGGGGTAAATTATGATATTTTGAAAACTAGATACAGTATAAATTATTTATTAATTATATGCATAATTTCCCCCCAAAAAAATTCTAAATTTTCTTTCAATTTCTAAAATAAACATTACAAACAAATATATATGGTTTACATATTTCGACTGTATCAACAATTCATCAAAGTATTTTTGTGAAATTAGAAGAAATTAGTATACTGTACAATTCAATCCCAATCAATCTCGCCATTTGCAATACTTTATTCAATACTTTTTTAGTGAATCTCACACACAAAAATGGCACACACTCTCACACACTCGGGGACAAAAATGATCAGGGACATTTTCTATTTCTTTTCTATAGAGTTGTATTGGCACCTGGCCGAAAAACTGATATGGAATTCAACAACATGAATGCAACCTGTACAAGAATTAGGACCATTTTTGATATTGCTTAAGTTGCTGCAGTATATAATCCAGTAAAAACACAAGTAGACAGTTTCAGCAGAGATCTGAGGGGAATATAGTGCTGTTTTCGGTATTTTCATTGGAATGAGCAGCAGAAATCGAAAGCCAAAACACGTAGACCCGTATTGGACATGAAGAAGCTGGATCGGTGCCTTCCTATTTGACATGTTCTATCTTTACCCAGAGAGACATGCATCCCGGCAGTTTCACACTCACTGAGAATAATGCGGGCTGACGACACGCGCCGCAGGAAACCGGGAGACCCTTCTGGAGTGAGCATCGTGTTAAGCACCCGCAGTAAACAATCCACGGCAGGTCTCTGCACGGTTCTCTAAGGGGGTCCGCCGCAGCATTTGCCGTGGTCTGAGGCAGTGGAGGCAGCCCACCGCTCCCAAAATAAATAATGTGAGGTGCCATGTAAGCTCAGAGCAGAACGGCGTCGGCTACGAGCGGATATTTTAACCCAGCGAATGATGAGGTGCGCTCTCACACGGAGGCAGATGACACCTCCTCTCCCCTCGTATACGGCCCTCGAGTGTCCTGTAACCTGAGCTGGGTGCAAGCAGAGCAGGAGACGGGAGCTTTTGCTGGGAACATTTAATATATGACGAAAATATACTGAATTGTGATGATGGAGTGAAGGCTGTGTTGCCAAGAATCCAACTATTTAATCCCCCAATGCAACTGCAAGGTACGATACCGGGCCGCAGATGGAGGTCTAATGCACGGTAAGGGTATATCGAACATTTTTAGATGAGATAGGCCTCAATAAACCAGCTTTGTCTGACATGAGGGACCTGATTGAAATGTAACCAAAGGCTAGAGCAGGGGTGGGCAAACCGGTCCTCAAAGGGCAGACTCACCAGACAAAATAAATAGATTTGTGTCTAAAAAATGTCCAGACCTTGGTTAAAGCTGTATTAAAGATTCTAATTTAAAGTTTATTTTATTTTATTGTTTATTTGGTTGGGACAGTACTTAATGAACACATCACTCCGGATTGTAGCCATGGGTTAATTTGCATCCATTGTCCCACATTTGCACTCACAAACACACACTCATTCACCCTGAACTATTGCACATGTTTTTTTAGTGGTAGGGAAAACCGGAGTACCTGGAGGAAACCTACGCAGACACGGGGAGAACATGCAAACTCCAGGGAGTCCATGTAAAAGTGCTCATAAGCCTACTTAAGAACACTATAGTTGAGTAACGGCACCCCACCCAGATCCCCCACTGTGACTTCCTGTTTGTGCGTGCGTGTGCAGACCTCCACTGTCCGGGGAGCTGAGCACGTTGAGGGCGAAGAGCATGGCGTTGGAGAAGGTGGTGGCCTCCTCCTTGCTGGCAAAGTTGAGACCGTAGACCTGCCGCGCATCTCTCCACTGGTGGAAGGTGGGCGTGGCCTGGTTGTACTTCAGCCCCTTCACGATCGAGTAGTTTATCACCACCTGCAGTGCCACACAACAGACAGGACGTAAGAGCAGTGACCTCACACGCTGTTTACCTACTGGTCCGATCTGTGAGAGGGGCGAGCAAAACAGAACAGGCCCAGAACTGCCCTACAAAAGACAGAACCAGGAACGCAAAATGATGAGATGCGGATAACCCTCACGGAAGGAAGCAGGACGAGCCGCAGTGAGTGCTTGGTCATGTGTCTTTTCTGTGTTGGACTGCGAATGTGTGTCTGAGGTTCTGATTATTGATAAGCGTTATTGGGAGATTAAACTGTATTATACTCAAACAAACTCACATCAATTTGTTTCTGGCACAAAACTTCTGGATCCAGCTATATATAGTTTATTGTTGATAAAAACTAATTTTAATAGACGCCTTGGTCAATTATGTCGATCTTGTCCTTGTTCTTAAGAATCTTTGAGAAGTGCAGTGATCCCAAAAGTGGATGCAACACTGAATGGAAATATATTTATTGATATTGCAGAAGCTTTTTGAAACAATGCCACAAAGAATTATGTTGTAAACGAAGCTTAAAGACAGATCTCTTTGCGCACACATGTTGGTCCTGCAGCTTGAAGGTTCAGTTCTGGTTTAGTCCTGTTATTGTCCTGGTCTAGTTCTGGTCTAGTTTACCTGCAGCTTGAGCCAAACCACAGTCCTGGTCCAGTCCTATTCGAGTCATGGTCGAGTCCTGGTCTAGTCCTGGTCCAGTCCTGGTCTCAGCCCTGTTCTAGTCCTGGTCCAGCCCTGTTCTAGTCCTGTTCTAATTCTAGTCTCTGGCCTGTTCTCATCCTGGTTTTAGCCCTGTTCTAATCCTGGTCTCAGTCCTGGTCCGGTCCTGGTCCAGTCCTGGTGTACCTGCTGGTCCTGCAGCTTGACTCCCACCACCCTGAAGGTGTTGTTGGCAGTGTTGTGGTAGATGTTGATGCGGCTGAAGCCCTGCTGTCCTGGTTTGATGGGGACCCACTTCTTGCTGGCGTCATCGTAGACCATGACAGAGGCCCGGGCCTGGCAAATGCTCTGCTCACTGCAACAAACACCACAAACACCACACATTTAGGATAAGAAGGGACAAAACTGATGGGAAGGGACTGATGTGTATTTATGCAGGGTGTATTCAATAATCAACTTTACTAGTATGGCATGGAAAAATCAATACAAGTTCAACTTACTTGCTTAGAGAAAAACACATAGAATATCTAACATAAAATTATTATTTACTGTAAAACATCAAATGTCTATTGTTGATCAGTTAAAATCAAACTCAAGATTAACACAGTAACAACATGTTAAAGGGGCCGTTTCTAATACTATTACTAATACTGAATCATCACAATTACAATCAGACTTTTGTTGCCAGAATCTTCAGCTAGTATTGCATATGAATATGTGTGGTGCTAGCTTTTGTTTGTGAATTTAGAAAAAAATAAGAAAGCCAAAACCAGCTACATTTCACCCAAATGAGGACCTCATTCTTCTCCCTGATTGGATATCCAGGACGAAAATTGTATCAAAAATAGATAATATTAACATCTAATAAATTGTATTTCTAGTAATAAATAACTCAAATATGATTTGTACGTATGACCAGTCACACATACATTTTTAGATGTAATGGAAAAATGAAAATATCACATACGGTCCCAAAGTTTAAGTGTTAGATCATGGGTTTGATACCAACAATTATAATATTTTAAAAACAGTGTAAAGTACATGTTCAAATGTACTTGTGGTGCAAACTGAATGAAAATATGTGGCTGCTGCACACAGGTTGATATTAGCTTGAGTCAGCCTGACCTCTAGTGGAAGAACAAGATATGGCATGATATTCTTACAAACTGAGAACTCTTTTATCCATTTTAATTTTTGTGTCTAGAATTACAACAATATAAAATACAAATAATGTATAATAGAATGCTAAAAACACACTTAGTAATTAAGTAGTAAGAAAAGTATCAGTCTTATATTGAATTATTATCATGTGTACTTGTTTTGGATAGAGCAAAAAACAGTATGCTCTGAAATATCAGTGGGACTGCTCCTGACAGAGGCCCTAGAGGCATTGAAGGAAGGGTCCAGCACAGAGGACACATTTCCACAAACTTTCTGAAAGAACCGCCCTCTACACTTTTTGAAGAAAACTGTCAGTTCTTATTTGTCACCAGTATGATTGACAATTGGGACGACCAAAAGTCTTTATGATCCACCCTGAAGTGGAACATCCTCCTATACCTTTAAGTACACCATAATTGACCAATAAATCAATCTAGTTTTTAAATAAAGCACCATTCATGTGGTGCATCCCAAAGTGCTTCACAATGACATGAAATCATACACATTTACAAACATTATAAAACCCATGAGATAAATGATACGAGTTTTTAGAACAAAACTACATGGAAGTATACAGTAGCCTAGAGTGTTCGCAGACATGACTAAACACCAATAATTATTTTTAAATGACTATTTTGATGTTTCTGCCCTAGACATGGAGAAGGCTAACTCTCTAGCTCAATTAAGAGTGAAGTGCTCATAGACAACATTGTGTAATGATTGACCAATCAGATACCTTCATTTTGTGGGGAAAACTCTTGAATCAGCAATCATCTTAGCAACACGTCTGTCCCTGTTGCGGCACAAAGCTAACGCCGTCGTAACAAATGACCATATAAGGAAATTATGTTTAGGTTCAAAATGGTTTCTCCCGCTTTCTGCAAACAATGTACGGACGTCAGCATTCGGCCCGTCCACTCCTCGTATACAATCTCTGGTTTCAGCCCTAATCAGTCAAGAATTATTGTATTCATGAAACCTAAGAAAAACTGTCATGACTTTCCACAGTTGAACACACACACACACACACACACACGCACACACTAACACGTGAGAGTGGCCCACTGAAGACACAGCCTCAGAGCCAGAGTGTGATGTGGACAGATCCCACATCACAGAGGGAGGGGCACAACTCTAATGACACGCTGCATGGACCATCACAGACCCACACCAGGCTCCAGGGCGTCCAACACAAACTGCAAGAAAAGCAATAATGCTCAGGAAAAGCAATAGCAGTTGTTGGATGTAGGAATTATGGGAGAATAATGGCGGGTTTTTGATCAGATGAAGGGAATTGGATTTGAGGGAAAATCTAAATAAAACACAAAACTATTTTAATTCTTGCAGTTCCTTTTTTTTATTAGTCCACTAGCTGAGAGCCACTCTCCCAGCCTGGCCCTGGGTCGTCCCAGAACATCCAGCAACAAAGCATTGAAAACAGCCACTACACCTCTGCCTGCTCCTCTTCATGTGAAGGACACATGTGGAGGAGCAGCGGCTCGACTCCGCCCCAGCCACTTTGCAGAGAAATACAATTTTGACCGCGTATATGTTACCCAAAGATCATAAGTCATGACCACAGGTACGAGTGGGAATGGAGTGTGACCAACATATGTACAAATATGGTTCAGAAAACTACTGAAATGGAGGAATATATTTGTATTATCTTAGTTTTTCCTGTTTTATTATGAAGGTAATTAATAATTAAGGTTATTAATTATGAAAAGCCGTACAGTTATCAGGGGACAGAGGTCAAGAGCATGACATGACCAAGTGAGCCTCACTTCTGTTTCAAAGGAAATGTCACCAAACACTCCCATCACATCACACGTCCACTGACATTCAAGATGATGCGTGAATAATACTCACTAATGTCAGAACACAGTTATATTAAAGACATCTCTAAGAATCTAACTATTACACATCGTTTTTAGATACTATAGGCCAAAAATCATGAGGGGCTGCATCTCTAACTGTTGAGATAGACATTGCAATTACACACCCACACTGGACTATAATATTGGACACACGTCCCGAAATAACAGCCCCGCTGTTCTGCTGAGCACAGCTCCACACTATGGCTCACCACATACTCTCATGTAACACACCACGAACTGCAGTAAAGGGCATTCTTAATGACCACGTCATCAGAGAGACCCGAGACAGAGCCAACGCCTGAACCCAGAATCTGTGAGGTGAAAATAGTCTCACCTGTCCTGTCAGTGGGGAGGGGGCGTGTCAGTCTCAGATTGTGGTGAAGACACAGTGGGTCTTAAATCGTCAAATTGAAGACACCATGGGTGAAGAACCCAGCAGCCGATGGAGAAGCAGGATTACAGACAGCGGCAGATCATTAGCTCAGTGCACTCTTAAATCTAAATTAACCAGACTTTAAATCTGGCACAAGACCTCTAATCTTCAGCACAGGGAAAGTAAGGAAGCCCGCAGAGACAAAAACAGCATGAGCACACTATTACCCATAAAACAGTCAAATATGCTCATTCAGGACACAAGGCACTATCAGGAAGGCAGGCTCATGAGCGTTTATAAAGGCATTCATTACACCAGAGCAGGTCACACAGTGTCGTCAGGAATCAGGAAGTGAAACTGTACTGGCTCTGCACTTAAACCCTGAATGCTTCTCATTTGAAAGCCTTTAACCCAAACATGTGTACGGTGAGTGTTGTTGTTTATGAGTTTTTTATTCTGTGTTTGAATACAGAAGTTAATGATGATTTGTTCCACATTTATGACACATACTTTCTTTTCAGAGAAGCACGGTCAGCAGTGCTCACACACATCTTTTGGAACATTGCTGCTCTGACTGACCACCTTCAGATGGCCAATCAGCTCTCACCTCACTTTTTACCACATGTTCACATTCTTGGGGTAAACACAGAAATGTTTGGCACTTCAGACCTAACAAGAACAATCCAAAGTGAAACCCTAACCCACTGCAAGAGGCATATAGGTCAAATGCACAGGAGATGATAAACTACATGTTACCTTATGCAGGCTAATGAGGATCCAAATAAAGAATATTATTGCACCCTTTATAGATAAGGATACGCATATTATAATTCAAAACACAGTCCCAAACACAAAGCCGGTTATACTAATCAATCATGCCAATAAAATAACTTCTAATATTAAGTGCAATTATACAACCATTTTAAGATACTATCCTACTATCACAGGTTAAAACAACCCTTTTCCTTAAAGCTAAGGTACCCAACTTTCATACCAAAACTAGTTCATCACACTCAGCACATTCTGGTTTTTTCACAAGTTTTGTATGCATGCATGTACAGATTTTTCAAACAGAAAAGTATTTTTGTGTGATTAAAATTACTTTTAATGTAAGTTTTTTTCTCTCTCAATTGTCCATTTGAGGTACAAAAAAAAAAGATGAATCAATTACTTACTTTGTTATCTACTTAAAAGCTGCATTACCTCAATTTATTTTTGTATTCGTTTGGAAAATTCAATCCATATCATGCAGTGCATTGGGATATACGTCCTTTTGAAGAATAAGTAGCGCTGGTTTGTGCTGGCGTGTCATTTTATTTTAGATCGAGTTTTTGTGCAACAAGGAAGAACATTTGTTTCGGGTCCAGATTGTGACCAATCACAGCGGACCACTGGACCCCACTTTCATGAGAAAATCTACAGGTCTGTGGTTAGCACAGACAGCGGAGGTAAACAAGCAGCGGAGGCTAACCTGAAACTTCCCGTGTCTTTGTTACCGGTTACTGCTTCCCGGTTCTATCATTCTATGGTCGCGCCATCGACGTTCAAATGTGCGATGCTACCTTCGTAAACAATTAGCACATGAGAACAGGCTGAGTGGGAGGGGGGTAGTAAGAGGCGAGAGCTCAGTGAGTGCGGGGAGAGGAAGCAAAAAGAGCGAGGCCAGCATTCACATTCGAAAATGTCACAAAGTTAGTTAGTGCAGCTTTAAACATCTATTACTTGTGATTAGATCAATAAACTTGTTTACAACCCGAGGAGCAAGTTGGAGGTGACCCCAAAGCTAAGGTTAAATCTGGAGGTCGGATCCGCATATCCTCTTTACTAATGCACAGTTATATATAAACAGAGTGACTGTTGACAATAATCTGGAGATACGATATGCACGGATTGAAAGAGTGTCCGGGACGCAGAGCTCAGTAACTATGTCACACAAAGACAGCT